AGCAAAAGAGCTCAGGGACAGCACCCAGACCCTGAGTTCAAGCCTCACGACGACGACGACCACCACCACCACCACCAACAACAACAAAATAAATGAAGTTCAGACAAAGTAAGTAACCCCCACAAGATCACACAGTGACAATGGGCAAAGGCTGCCTCAAATCCTCTTGGGAAATGAGGTCATACAGGAACAAATGGGCATGAAATTCAGGGGTGAAGTGGATCCTCATCTTATGAAATCCAAATGACCTCAAAGCTTTCGAGATGGCTCCAGCATGAGGACACCCAAACACGACAGCCTCGTTGGGTGAGCAGCATTCATAAAGCGCAGTGCCACCATTCAAAACTGCTAAAGGGAGGCCCTGCTCCTCTTGGACAAAAAAATGCTGCCTGAGGTACTTTTGAACTTTGGTATTACCAATGGTTCACTCTTCAGAGAAAAGGAATGCCTTTCCTCCTCCAGAGCTACGCAGAGAAGTCCAGACACCATTCAGCCTTACGCCCAGGGGCCTCCCTTGGAATGAAATCCCAACACAGACAAATGGTCAGGGGAAGTCTATGGCCTTAGAAGAATCCAAAGTAGATGAAGTGAAGCTCTGGGTGACCCTGCCCTGTTGAGCCTGGTGCCTGGCAGCCTGGCAGTGCCCATGTCTGGGAAGGGTCTCCTGGAATGGAGGAACAGGACATCTAGGTGAGGGCTAGGGTATGACCGCTCTTCCTGCTGCTCCTGCCAGCATCAACCCAAGTGACACAGAACCTGAGGAAAGGGAGGTGTCTTTTTTTCTGGGCTCCATCTCCGGAAATGCGCTTATTGCCTTTCCTCTAGCCCCTTCCCCAGGAGTCAATCTGCTTATGTTCCTGGGGCATACAGACCAGGATTCCTGAGCATAGTACAAGAGGCCTTATTAAAAGCAAAAGGCAACAATGTTCAAGAGGAAGTGTACTCATAACCTCACTCATGTAACTGTAACCCTCTGTATAGTAGCTTTACAATAAAAAAAAAAAAGAAAGAAAAAGGCTCGAGGACAGGGGCTGGCAGAGTCTGAGCAGACAGGCCAAACAAACAGCAGCCCTGGACATGGCTAGAGCCTTTGGCTCTACCTCAACGCCGCCTCACTCTGAGGTTTCCCAGGCTGGGCCTTTGCAGGGTCCTGCCCTAGTTCTGGCTTTGTTCTACTTTTCTGAAACAGATGAAAAGAAAGAATTCAAGAGTTGGAGAGAAGTATAAACCCAGAGGAAGGGCATACACATTCAGGAACTTTTTTTTTAAGTCAGTAGTTTAGAGCCAAGAGTATTTTCACCCAAAGAGTATATTCCCAAGAGTATATTCACTCAAAACTGTGGACAGCTTGGTCCACAAGATAAAGCAAGACCTTGGTGTTTAGGTGCTATTGTTCCTTCCCTCCCTCTCCCTCTCTCTTTGTCCCCTTCCTCTTTCTCTTCCACCCTCCCCTCCTTTCTCCCCCTCTCAGTCTTTCTCTCATTGTCTCCTTCTCTCTCTGTGAGACTTACCATACAGCCTCTGCTGACATGGAGCTCCCAAGTGCTGGGGGCACAGATGTGCATCCCACTGCCAGAACACAGTCCACACAATAGGAATCCATTTGCAGAAAGTTCAGACTTAGACTAAAGTCCCCCTGTGTAAACAGCTGTGTAAAGAGCTGTTTGCCCCCCGTGGGGGTGGAGCAGAGGTGGCAAGAGGGGCTTTGGGATGCATGCTGACATTATATTTTGATCTGTGTGCCAGGCACAGGAGTATGTTCACTGTGATCATGCAAGTCACCATACACTTAATAATTCGTGTGATTATTGTAGGAATTTTATGCATTAAAAATGATTTTTAAAAATTCCTCTCTGAAAAATTAGGACAGAGCAAGGGAAGGGGTGACATTGTCCAAAAAGAAATTTACTTGTTTCCTGACTTATGTAACTGTAACTCCTCTGTATGTTACCTTTATAATAACAATAAATGAATAAAAATTTATTTTAAACAATCTTTCTGTGGTCAGAAAATAACTTATACTTCTTGCTGTTTGCAAAACTGAATCTATATACATTGGGCCAGAGCCATGAAAAACAAACAAATAACCAAGAGACCCCTGAGTCTATTTTTTCACCTTAAACAGTTTTCACGGCTTTCAAATTCAATGAGAGGTTTCTTTGGGCAGAATGTCACTGGTTTTCAGGGCCTAATCAGATCTTCCTCTGCACTGGTGGATCGCTGGCTGGGCCATTTCTGCCTGTGGTCCCAGAGTGGGGAGGACAAAGTGAGTCTCAGACCTCCCAGGTCTGACCCAGGAGAACTCAGGGGAAGTCAGGAAACTTTCTCCAGATTATACAACAGAGCCACTGGTGGGAGGCCTGCTTCTCTCAGTCCAAGGCTATCACTTTCCACCACATCTCCTCCCACAGGGACCAATTAATAAACATTCTGCTTTGAGGCACTGAGAACCTCACTGGTCATTCTTTACATGCTCAGAACACACAGGAGTTTACTGACTCCTCAACAGGAAACAGTTTCTCTTGGAGAGCTGGGGAGGGGGGGATTTGGTGGGGAAGAGGTGCTGAGTTTGTAATAGGGCATTGCGACACCAACCTGCACACTGTGGAACTGACCAAACACTGAACCAAACACTGGCTGCATAAATGGACTCACTCAACTTGGAGAAACAACAGCAAAAAAAGTTGTATAAATAGTCTAAGGGGAGACCTCACAACCTTGATTACATTGATTCTTTTTTTGTTGTTTTGTTTTGTTCATCCTGGGGCTTGAACTCAGGGCCTAAGCACTGTCCCTGAACTTTTGTCACACCTTGTGTCACTTGAGTCACATCTCTACTTCCGGCTTCTTGGTGGTTAATTGGAGATAGGAGTCTTACGCACTTTTCAGGCCAGGTTGGCTTTGAACTGCAATCCTCAGATCTCAGCTTACAAGTATGAGCCACCAGCACCCAGCCCTGAATAATTAAGTTCTTTCTTCATCTTCATTTTCTTTTTTTAGGATGTAGCTAAAAATAAAGGCTTGAAACTTGAAATACTGTAAGCAAATACACACACACACACACACCCTGGGGTGTAGCTAAAAATAAAGGCTTGAAACTTGAAATACTGTAAGCAAATACACACACACACACACACACACACACACACACACACACACACACACACACACACACACACACACACACACACACACACACACACACACACACACACACACACACACACACACACACACACACACACACACACACACACACACACACACACACACACACACCCTGGGGTTTTCCCATATATGGCCACCTTACTCTTCAGCCTTTGAGAAAGCCAAACGAAGAGAGGGCCCAACAACCAGACCATCTTTCCCATAGCTGCAGTGAGGAGGAAGGACACTGGAGAGTTGGTGAATGAGGAAGAGCTGCTGCAGGATTAGTTGCCATGGTGCTCTAGGAGCTCGGGCATACGCATCTGACACGGGCCTCTTCTCTAAAGAGGCTGCGCTGCCCTTAGCACAGAGAAAGCCACAACTACAGCAATTCCACATAAAGGACTTAAAGGAGGAAACCAGTGCAGAAGCATGACTGAAAACTCAATGAAGGCCCTTCTCAGTATTAAAGAGATGAGGGCACAGCTCAAGGCCACTGGTGGGAGGGAGGAGGGGAAGAGCATGGGAAAGATGTGAACGAGACACCAGGGCATAAATAACAGAGGTCAAACCCCAGAGGACAGCAGCTTTGTGAAAACTGGCTAGGCCAGAGTCTGTGGGTGCTACGAGAAGTTTGTCTATGGCAAAGACTGGCATTCTCCTATCAAGTGAATGCTACTTGTGTGAAATGGGGCAGTCCATACCTCCTGTGTCAGACACATGCTGGACAGGAGGAGAAGACCTGATCTCACTGGCTCTTAAGTGGCGGCCTGGAGGCCGGAGAACCCAGCGCCAGGTCTACGTGGTGGTGTGGGGTGAGAGCGCTGAGGAGGGCAGGGAAGCCAAGGCTTTGGAGGGGAGGCCAGGGCTCTTTCTGCTTCCAAAGTCTTGGGAGAACACTGGCTGAGTGGGAAAGTTTGGGGTTAGGTTGCCACTCATCCTCTCACTCTCCTATGACCCCCATCTCCCCTCTGCTGACCCTGACAGGAGGGGGCAGTAGACAGCAGGAGACCTGCCAGGACCTGGGAGTAGAGTCTCTCCTCCTACCTGAGAGACAGGCGGGTGCAGCTCAGTGGTACAGCAAGTGCATAGAAAGCACATCACCCTGGGCTCCATCCTGCCACCCAAAGACAACTGCCAAGTAGAATTACTGTGCACTGAAAATGGGCAGCCTTTGCATCATGGGCTGTAAAAGTCTGACTGGAAAACCTCTCCATTCAGTGAGTACAACTGAAGAGGCAGCGTGAGCTCATCCCAGCCCTTCTCTTCCCCTCCCCGAGCAGCTGGCCTTCCTCACAAGGATCCAAACTCTAGTTCTGAAAACACTCCTCCATGTGCTTGCTCCTAAACTCCTCCTATTTGGTTAGACTCAATAATAATAATAGCAAACAACAGAAACATAAGCACAGACACCAATTCCTGCTGCAGTTGTGTCCCATCAATCACCATCCCCAGTCTTCGCACCCACCAGATGAGGTCTGTCTGATTTACAGACAAGAGAACTGAGGCCCTAGATGCTGTGGGACTCAATTAGGCAAGGCCATCTTAACAAAGGCAGGGTGGAGATAATTTTCCAGCTGGCAGATTCCAAGCCTGTTCCCTCTTTCTTCATGCCACAGTGAAGACTCAGTCAGCATGCTTGGTTTGGTTCACCATGCACTGGCAACCACTTCCTGTTTGTGACTTCCACCCTCCACATCCCACAGAACCTTCCAGGTGGTCACAGGGTTCCTTCCCCACTGAGAGCCCGGCTGTGGGGGAAGCAGGCAGGGTGGACAGGACAGTCACCCCAGACCAACCCCAACATAGGCGGGATCAGACCCAGGATGGTGGCTTGTCTCCACACCACTCACCTGGTGAGGCACGAGTCCCAGAGAGGTGGGGGGCTCACTCATGCGGTCATCACTGCTGCTGGCGATGGCGTAGCCCCTGCAGAAGGGAGGAACTAGAGCTGCTCAGTCCATCAGTGTTAACGGGGAACACACATGAGGACTGTCTGGAGGGTGCCAGTGAGGGTGAGGGTGAGGAGGAAGTCCAAAATGCTTTTGCTGGGCACCTACACTAGCCAAAAATGCACTTCTCTGGGAGGGGAGTAATAAAAATGCATGGCAATGAACCTGTCTTGTTCTTCAAATAGTCTATTTTTTTATGCCAATCCTGGGCTTGAACTCAGGGCCTGGACACTGTCCCTGAGCCTTTTTTTCTCAAGGATAGCACTCTGCCACTTGAGCAACAGTTGTACTTCTTCCAGCTTTCTGCTGAGTAATTCGAGATAAGAGTCTCGGAGACTCTTATGGGATGGCTTTGAAGTGTGATCCTCAGATCTAACCCTTTAGAGTAGCTGGGATTACAGGTGTGAGCCACTGACACCCAGCTTCAGATAGTTTTAAAGAATACCACAGCACATTTTATATTGAAATTTTCAAATAGAAAACTTTCATTTCTTTCCCTTTCCCATTTCCTTCTTCCCTCCCCTCCCCTCCTTTTTTCTTCTGTAGACACAGGCTCCCATTACATTTTCCAGGTGGGCCTCAAACCCTTAGTCTCAAGAGATACTCCCAGGTCAGTGCCCCAAGTAACTGAGACTATAGGTGAACACCACCATGTCCAGTTCTAACGTTAACCTCCTGAATCAAATCAATGCTACAGAAATGGAGGAAAGAGAAATAATGGTGTGATACTTAGCCACAGAAGCAAGGCAACACAGCATCTCTGAAAACCAGACAATGGGCTTAGCTGAATGTCACTGGAGGAGGGCAACCCAGGGAGAGACAGAGTATTTAAAAGTAAATTTGAGGACACTGCTGGGGGCATTCCCAACATCCACTGTCCTCGTGCAGCTTCTGACAGTTCTATTCGCAGAGGTGGCATGCCTAAACCAAACCTATACTTGCCAGGATTTCCTTGCAGAGTTACAATCACTGGGTAAGTTTTTCAGGAATGCTTTTTAAAAGGACGCAGATGCAGATTGCTACAAATTTTACCCTCTGGTTATTTCTTCCTTCTAAAATGTCATGCACAGCAGTGCAGATGGCACCGCAGTCACCTTGCACCCACAAGGTGACAGCCATAAGGAGGAAAAGCTAAGAGTGACTGAGTGAGAAGTACTCAAGCCGGTGCTTGACTCACATCATTGTCCTAGTTATTCAAGAGACTGAGATCCAAAGGATCCTGGTTCCAACACTTCAGATCACCAGCAAAAAGCAGGGCTGGGCTGGAGGTGAGGCTCAGTGGAAAAGCATCAGCCCAGCAAGCAAGCTGAGCAAGCATACAGCCTTGAGTTCAAGCCCCAATACAACCAAAAAGTAAAATTAAATAAAAAAGAAGGAACTCAATTCCCTGATGGCATAATGGGCTGCTTACAGGGCTGTGAAATAATGACAAAGGCTTGTCTTGCTAAGTCACGGAACACAGACCTCTGTCATGTCATACAGTTTCTAACATTAGTGATCATACATGTTCTTATCAATGACAGAGCTAGGAAAATAAAAACAAAAGTAAAGTATAAAGGTCCTCAAGTCCTCAAAAATGTTTCTTTCTTCAACTGCCAGACTCTAGGAGAATATAAAAAGGTTGCAGGGATAAACCCTAAAGATCCCATAGCAATTTCTCACTGGTTAAAGAACTAGATCAGATTTTTTTTCTCCCGGTTACGGGGCTTGAACTCTGGGCCTGGGTGCTGTCCCTTAAGCTTTCAGCTCAAGGTTAGCATTCTACCACTTGAGCCACAGCGCCACTTCTGATTTTCTGGTGGTTTATTGGAGGTAAGAGTCTCACGGACTTTCCTGCCTGACTGGCTTTAAACCATGATCCTCAGATCTCAGCTACCTGAGTAGCTAGGATTACAGGTGTGAGCCACTGGCATCTGGCTTTTTTTCTTTTTCTCTTTTGATGACAGTCCTGAGTCTTGAATTCAGGGCCTGGACACTGTCATTGAGCTTTTGTGTTCAAGGCTAGGGCTCTACCATTTGAGCCATAGCTCCACTTCTGGCTTTTTGGCAGTTTACTGAAGATAAAAGTCTCATGGGCTTTCCTGTCTGGGCTGGCTTCAAACTGTGATCCTCAGATCTAAGCACCTTAAGTAGCAAGGTTTATAGGTATGAGCCACTGGTGCCTTGCTTCTTAAGTCATTTTTGAATATAGAAGAGCAGCAAAACTCTCAGAAGAGTCCAACTGAGAAAAGGCCGGCTCTCTTTGTCTAAATGCCCATTTCTGAGTAGCCAACTCACCCTTCTGGATGCTGCAGGACAGAAACCATCAGCTCCACTGCCAGTGCTCCTGCAATCGTGGCCAGGCCTGGACGACTCACAGTGCACTGCTGGTCCAAGGTCCGGTCTCTGGTTGACTGCAGAAGAAACAATCACTGAGCTGTGCTGCATGTCTAGTCCCTAGCCCTAGATCTGAGCCTGAAACTCCTCCACGATGAAGTTTTAAAAGACAACAGATGCTCACTGTTGGCAAGGAACAACCAGCCTCAAACACTATCATTTCTTAGGAGGATCAAGATGAATAAAATACCCAGTCTCAGTAATTAAATGAGGCAATAGGCTGAAAAGGATATAAGTAGGTTAAGCGATCTAAAACCGGAAAATATCAACCAGGTGCCTCAATTCTGCCCTGCCATTCTAACTGAAGTAACCCCTCAGCGTGGCCTGCCAGGATCTGCTACCTGCAGTCCTCGGTTCCAATGTGCTTCTCCCAGTGTGGACACCTCACCACACTGGCTTTGATTCAAGGGCTTCACTGCAAACGCCTCTGCTACAGACCGGCTTCACTGGATCAACCTAAGAAATCCTAACCTTCCAACTCTGAACAAAGGCAGAGGTTGTCAGGGAAAGCTATGACTGAAAACTCTGCTGTAAGAACAGACATCACGACTGCAATGGACCCTTGTGCAGTTACTGCCCCTTGTGCAGTAACTAAGTCACAGGGCCAGATGTGGATTTAAGTACATGAAGGAGATGGTCAATCAGCCCCATCTCTCCCAGGAGGAAGGTTGGCTTTTTAAAAAATACATACTGGGAAGACAAAAGCCAGTCATCCAAAACAAGGTATGGTTTCTAAAGATCAAGTTTTAAGAGAATGGGGAAACAGGGAAGAACCATCTCTGCTCTGTATCTCGGCTCTGATGTCTCTGCTCAGTCCTGTGGGCTGGCAGGAGCACAGGCACAGAACTGGGCAATCATATGTCGGCACGGTAGGTCCTTGCTCTTCAATGCACTTTCACACTCGACCTACTTGGCCCTGTGAGCTGACAGGTCCAGTGTTCCCTCCTTTTCTAGGTTGTCAGATAAAATAGAAGAGGTCAGTTAAAGATGGGTTTTACACAGTCCATTTTTTTAGTTCAGGACTTCTTTATTTTTTAAACTCTTATACATGGGGTTACAATCTAACATGTCCAGTGCTTCTTGATTAGTCACCTCTTCCATTACTGTCCTCTGTCCTTTCTACCTCTTTTCCCCAGACTTACTTCTCATTTTCTACTTCCTTTATCACATGTGTCCATTGAGAATTCTGACTATAGCTGTAGCACATACACTAAGAATGACTTCGTGTTTGCTTGAGTCTCAAAGTCACCTAGCACCCTGCACCGTCACTAAATTTGAGACGCAGGTACTCTACTCCCACTTTGCAGAGCCAGAGGACAGAGACTACACAGAATGCCCTGGGAGGCAGTGTTGGGGACAGAACCAGAACCTGGGTATTTGGACTTCTCATGTTGAAGACAGCACAGGAGGCAAAGCACAGCTACCCAGAATCATCTATCTCTGCTGCCGTGTCCTCACGCAGCCGCCACCCCCCACGCTTGGCAGCTGCATTTACATGAGTGAATAAGGAACAGCTGTAGAGTTGAGGATGCCAATCAAGCCTTGCAGTGTGACGATGCCATTCCCCACACTGGAGCATTCTCTTTGTTGAAAGACAGTATTTGAAAAGCAACAAGAGAGCTAAGTCTCTCTTGCTCAGTGCATAAGACACTGAAAGTATTTGGAACTGTAAAGAAATTCACTTACATCTCCCGGGGCCACCACATCATTGCAGAAATAGCAGCCGAGTTTGTAACCAGGGATGTTGGCAAAAAGTGAGGATCCAAGGAGGTCAGCAGATGCCGCAGGGTGTCCTGGGTACAAGTCCCCGGCTCCCTGCTGCTTTGGTTTCTTCAGGCCATGTCTCATGACAACAAATGTGTCAAAGCCCAAGGCAGCATTGATGACCAGCTGCAGATTTCAAGTAATAAAAGAAGAGAGTTAAGAAAAACTCACTCCAAGCCATGGGTAATTTCCTAGTTGGTTAACTTTTTTTTTTTTTTTTGTCAGCCATGGGCCGTGAACTCTAGGCCAGGGCGCTGTCCCTGAACTCTTTAGTTCAAGGCGAGCACTCTACCACTTGAGCCACAGTGCCACTTCCGGTTTTCTGGTGGTTTACTGGAGTTAGAAATCTCATGGACTTTCCAGCTGGGGCTGGCTTTGAACTGCAATCCTCAGATCTCAGCCTCCTGAGTAGCTAGGATTATAGGCGTGAGCCACTGGCGCCTGGCTATTTGGTTAACTTTCAAAGTTAACTTTTTTGCCTGTGAGCGTAACTAGAGTCTAATACTAATACTGATCAAGGCTCTTCAGTACTGAGGGATTATAAAGTTAAAAAAATCAGACAAGTTGTCAACATAAACTGTCTCATTCATTTCATTTAAAACTCCTTTTTAGTCTGATGCTGGTAATTCATGCCTGTAATCCTAGCCATTTAGGAGGCTAAGATGGAAAGGATCTTGGTTGAGGCCAGCCAAGATTGGTTGCACACATGTGCAAAATCCTTTGTGAATAAGTATCTGGGCACAGCAGCATGTACCTGGCACCCTGCCTATGAACTGACCTAGCCAAGGCAGAAGAGTCTGTGTGATCGCATCTCAATGGAAGATGCTGAGCATGGTGGCACAGGCCTGTCATTCCAGATCCAAAAGAAAGTATAAAACAGGCTGATCACAGTCTAGACACAAAGTAAGACCCTATCTCAGAATAAGCAGTGCAGAGGACGGCACAGTGGTAGAGCACCTGCCCAACAAGTGTGAGGTCCTGTGTTCAAACCCTAAAGACCTAAACTACAACAACAAACAAACCAAACAACCCTAAACTATAACGAAATTCCCTGAGAATATCACCTATTTATAGATGAGGCTCCTGAAAGCCAGGAAGGTTCATTTTTTAGATGGCCCATAGTCACTTAGCTTCTAAGAGTAAGCATACACTTGCAACACATATTCATTGCTGCATTATTATTTGCCAACTTAGGCAAACAGTCTAGATGCTCTACAATAGATGAGCGGATCAAGGAAATGTGGTACATATATACAATGGAATTTCCTTATCCATCAGAAAGAATACTATTATGTCATTTGCAGGAAAAAGGATGGACCTAGAACAAATCATGTTAAGTGAAGTAAGCCAGGTCAGAGAGACAAACAGCGTATGTTTCTCCTATATGTGGAAGCTAGATCTACAATCAAACTAAACGTACTAATTTATACAGAGCTTTATGCATTTATCCCCAGACAAACTGACTAAAGGGGGGTATACGTAGGGGAGGAATCCAAAGACCTAACTCCTCTGAACATCTAAAGTACGATTTATCAAAACCCATGGAAACATGGGTTTTTGTTGTTGTTGTTGTTGTTTTAACTTGCTTTGTTGTCCTTTTTCTTGAAGGGTGGGCCAAGAGGGGTGTACAGGGATGGAGGAAGGAAAGGTGAGCAAATGCAGTCATTGTATTCAACATATACTACATAAAAAATAAACTATGAACTTGTGGTTAGGGATAGGAGGGGGAAAATGGGGAAAGTGAAGGAAGTGATGAAAATGTCCAAGAAGCATTGTACTCAGGATAACTTGACTTATGAAATTGTAACCCCTTGTACAACTCCTTAGAATAGTTTAATTTTTTTTTTTTTTTTTTGGGTCCGGTCGTGGGGCCTGAACTCTGGGCCTGGGCACTGTCCCTCAGTTCTTCAGCTCAAGGCTAGTGCTCTACCACTTGAGCCACAGCGCCACTTCCGGCTTTTTTCATTTTGCTTATGTGGTGCTGAGGAATCGAACCCAGGGCCTCATGCATGCAAGGCAAGCGCTCTACCACTGAGCCACCTTCCCAGCCCCTTTAATTTTTTTTTTTTTATAAAAGGGTAAGTATTGCGTTTTTTTCTTTTGAGGTCTTTATTTTTCTCATTGTGAACATTAAATTTAAAATGGTAAGATTCAGTTTAAAATGTAGTTTTAAATAAAGTTTGGCTTATCTGTTAAAAAAAAAAAAAAGGTGGGCTGGGAATGTGGCTCAGTGGTAGAGTGCTTGCCTTGCATGCATGAGGCCCTGGGTTCGATTCCTCAGCACCACATAAGCAGAAGAAGCCAGAAGTGGCGCTGTGGCTCAAGTGATACAGTGTTAGCCTTGAGCTGAAGAGCTGAGGGGCAGCACCCAGGCCCAGAGTTCAGGCTCTACAACCAACACACCCCCACCCCAAAGGTAAGTGTTAAGCCAGGCACTAGTGGCTCACACCTATAATCCTAGCTACTGTGGAGGCTAAAATCTGAAGATCATGTTTTGAAGCCAGCCCAGGCAGAAAAGTTGTGAGAAATGAACCCCCAGAAAAATGGAAGTGGAGCTGTGGCTCAAACTGGTAGAGCTCTAGCCTTGAGCTAGAGCTCAGAGACAGTGGCCAAGACCTGAGTTCAAGCCCTAAGTTCAAGCCCCATGACCAAAAAAAAACCCGTAAGTGTGCGAAACTAAGTCTGCAAGTTCTCAAACTCATTCTCACTGCTGGTAAGTTACATCATGTCCACAGTTGTAACAATTTTGCTGAGATTTAATACACATACTGTGTAATTCGTTCCTTACGTAGATTTTCTTTTTTTGAGTCAGGATCTTGCTATGACTTTCTCACCCATGAACTCATGATGCTCCTACCTTTGCCTCCCAAGTACTGGAAAGACCAGTATACGTTAACATAGACCAATACCACAGCACAGATTTGTTGATTGCAGTGCTGGAGTTTGAACTCAGGGCCTTGCACAAACTAAGAGGTGCTCTACTACTGAAGTCACTCCTTCAGCCCTTTCTGCTTTAGTTATTTTTCAAGTGGGGGTCTCACTTTCCTTTCCTGGACTGTGATCCTTTTACTTTATTTCTGCACAGTAGGGATGAAAGGCATGCTACAGTACCCGTGCCTGGTTTTCTTCATTGAGATGGATGGAGTCTGGCTAACTTTTATGCTCAGGCTGGCTGCAAATCAGTACCCTCCCAATCTCTGATACCAGGGAGCTAGGATTACAGACATGAGCCCTTGCTCCTGGTACCACATAGAGTTTTTTCTTTTAGTTCTGAGACTGAGACTTGAACTTCGTACCTGATGCTTTCACTCATTGTCTAGCACTTTACCAACTGAGCCATGCCTCCAACCCTATCAACAGATTTTTTTAAAGACAGGATTTTTTTTTCAGTTGTCATTTGTTATGCTCTTAGATTTGATGAGATAGAAAGCTTTAAAGAAGGGGAAAAAAAACACTAGAAAAACAAAGATAACTCATGACCCACAGCTCGCATAGAACAGTTTGTGACATTTTTTCCTCCTGTTTTCTTCACTTGGGCCCTCTTCCCTCCCTTGCCAGCCTTCTCCCTGGTCTAGTAGACACACAGACATAAATGTGTATATTTTCGTGTGTGTTTATATATAAACATAATTCATGGAAATGTATATCATATCTTGTGTAACATGATATGGTATTTTCTGTATTATTAAAATGCTTTGGAAACTTAACTGTGAACGGCTGCATACTAGTCTATCAGGCATGCAAATCATGACTTAGTTAACCATTCAGTACTGCTGGCCCTTGAATAAATCATTGCACATCAAAGGATGTTAGAAAAATTCAACAGTAAACTATCCTGGGGGACAGTTTGAGGCAGGGCCAGGTCTGGTAGAGCCTCCTTGGGTACAGTGGTCACACAAGTACAAGGTCATGCAAGACTTTTCTTTTCGGGGGTCACCTCTCCATTTGGGGAGGAGGTGCATGAAGTTACAGCCAGAGGAGGAGCACCCAGGTTCCATACCCTACCTTCCTCTTGCTCGCGGCAATGACGGTAGGAAGCCACCGGCTCTCCCTTGTGTCCATCAACAAGAAGATGACATCGTGGCTCTGGATGAGTTGCTCCAGCTGCTCCACATCCCTGCGGGCTTGCTCCAGGGTAACACTGGAGAAGTTCACGGGATGTCCTGGCATGGGGATGCTCATGCTGAACCCTCTGGCATTCTGGGAAAACAGGATATACTTAGGTCTGAAGGAGGCTACGCTTCCTCACAGCTACCAGCACTAAGGATGGCACTTAAAAGCAGAAATATCTCTGTGCACAATGCTACTAATTTCTTTTATCCTACCTGTGCCCTCGGGAAAACTGAGACACTAAAACTTGAGCTATCTTTTGGTAGGCATGTGTTGTTGAAGAAGGAACCCAGGGACTTGCACATGCTGGGCAAGTGCTCTACCGGGGAGTTCCATCTCTAAAGGCTTTTGAGGCTGATATTAAGAATGAGCCATAGCCGGGCGCCAGTGGCTCATACCTGTAATCATAGCTACTTAGGAGGCTGAGATCTGAGGATTGCAGTTCAAAGCCAGCCCCATCTGGAATGTCCATGAGACTCTTATCTCCAATTAACCACTAGAAAACTGGAAGTGGTGCTGTGGCTCAAGTGGGTAGAGTGCTTGCCTTGAGCTGAAGAGCTCAGGGACAGCTCTTCAGGACCTGCCCAGAGTTCAAGCCCCCTGACTGACAAAAAAAAAAAAAAAAAGAGTGAGCCATGAGTGGGTGCTGATGAAGCCAGAGGCAGAGACTTTCCCCAGGGAAGGAAGTCCTCTTGGGTCATCAATGCACCCTTAGTTCCTTGCCTTCCTCTGGCCACAGGGAGGTATGAGGACATCAGCTTTCTCATTCACTTACCTGCTTGGGAAAAAAGCTCATGGGGCAGGGCAAGCGTGTTTTTTACAAAAGAAAATCTATCTTTACCAACTATAGACTTTTTTTTTTGGTCTGTGTGAGGCTCGAACTCAGGGCCTGGGCACTGACCCTGACTGAGCTTTTTCTCTCAAGGCTAGCGCTCAAAGTGTTGAGCCACAGTGCCACTTCTGGTTTTCTAGTGGTTCACTGGAGATTAGAGTCTCATGGACTTTCCTGCCCAGGCTGGCTTTGAACTGTGATCCTCAGCTCTGATAATGGCATCTGTTAAGAAGTACCAATGTACATTTTGGTGAAGCCCAGATTATCGGTGTTTGTTTGTTTGGGGGTCCTAAGTCCAGCCAAGACCTGTAGCTGGACCATAAGCAATGTGCATACCCATGAGCACAGAATAAAATTTCCTATCTGAAACTGGGGTTTGGGGACTTTGTGATTTGAGACAGCCGACAGCCATCATGGCTTCTCAATGTTGCTGTGTTCCTTCCCTGGGTAGCAGTGGGTTCTCAATCAATACTATTGAATTAAACCCAATAAATGCTGTCCCTTGGGAATACCGATAAAATGAACAAAGCCATCAACATTTTCTATAGCAAAGACTTCTGAAACAGATGGCTCAATGTTGGCTGGCTAAAGAGAGAGATGTCAGAAAAGCAGGCTTTCTCCTGGCTATGGCTGAGAGCCTCTTCTACAATTCTCAGAACAAGCCGATGCTCTGAAGATATCTCATCTGCCTCCTGCCAGACAAACTGATTAAGCATACAAGATGTAGGCTCATTCTGCTGAATGACCTCAAAACAGCTCTCAAGATTTTGGATCAAATGAGGTGAATGACTTATTTCTTATTAGCTGGTGTTTCTAAAATAAAGGGAATAAGTCAGAAATAAGAAGAGCTAGAGAAGAACCTTCAACTTCTACTCACTTTTTCTTCTTAGAGACACATGTATTCAATCTCATTTCTAAGCTAGTATTAAGCAAGCAGGCTGATGATTAAAGAAAATGAATATCCCATATCTGGGCTGTCACAAACACTTAAGAGCCAGGAGAGATCTGAATCCAGGCATCCCTCCAGAAACACTTCTCATACATTCATTTCATTTTCATCAGATTTATGAGAGCTATATTTTGTTTTGTTTTTCTACTGCTGGGGATGGAACCCAGGGCCTTATGCATAATAGTCAAGTTCTCTACCACTGAGCAAACCCCTCCACCCCCTACCACTGAAATGAGGTACACAGCTTGACCACACGGTGAGTCTCTGGGGAGAAACGATCTATGTCTGATCATCCATTGCCAGTACCACAGCGCCTCGTTCCCTAAGTTGTAAACGTTTACAGGTGGAGGAAAAAAACCTGTGGGTGTTCACCAAAGCGTCAACGTACCACTCCGGGGAATATTTTCTGGAGCCGGTCTGCTGCAGCCAGGGCCTTGGGCTTACCACCCCCTAGGCAGTCTTCAAATTCATAGAGAGGCTGTCTCACGGGATTAGAGTAGGAGATCTTGGCGTTGTCCACAAAGGTGACATGTCTGACACCCCAACCCTGAATGGAAACAAGAGACCATGATGTGCCTCTGCCCAACTTCTCACAGGGCATCTCTCTTGAAATCCCTGGGAAGGGTTTGGATTTTGAGCAGTTGGAGACCCATAAAATACAGGAAACATCAGGAATTGAATTGTGCAAATTCAGTTTTTGATACCCTGAATGTCAACCTCCTTTAAAAGATGAAATAATTATAAACTTAGAGCCTGGTTCCCTGAAGTAACCAGACTAAGACATGTCAGAGTGAGTCTATCTAGTAACTCATTATTTTTGACAGTAGCAGTGGAGAAACATTTGGAAATGAATCCCGAGAGCTTTGCATGTAGCTAACTGTCTTAAGAGGATTAGCAAGAGCCCCCAAAAGTCTGTGGTTGCTCTGAAATAATTAAGTCTAAATAACAACTCCTCTCAAAGATCATCTAAGGCCTCAATTAACTCTTCAGAAAAATGATTAATAACTCATTTCCCACTGTATAATACTGCAGAATATTCTGTAGTGTTTCTTGAGTGGGGGTAAGTCTGTGCTCTTATAAATAATTTTTATGATATTATATACTTCAATCATACCACCCATAAGGTTTTATAAAAGCACACAGTTTTAAAGTTAGACAAGAATTGCTAAAAATCTATACTCATGCCGGGCACTGGTGGCTCACGCCTGTAATCCTAGCTACTCAGGAGGCTGAGATCTGAGGATCGTGGTTCTAAGCCAGCCCAGACAGGAGACTCCTATCTCCAATACACCACCAGAAAACTGGAAGTGGCACTGTAGCTCAAGTGGTAGAGCACTCGCTTTGAGCTGAAGAGCTGAGGGACAGCGCCCAGGCCCAGAGTTCAAGCCCCACGACCAACAAAAAAAAAAATCTATACTCATCCTCTAATCACTTGTTCCACAGATATAAAAACTGACCCATAGGAACAATAGATGATCTGCTAGGAATTACACATTGCACTAGGGGTGTGAGAATGAGACGTCCACAGCTGCACCTCCTTTACGGTGGGGATGTGCACCCCAGCAGATGAGAAATGAGCACCGGCTCCCTCTGAATCTGCAGTTAGTTAAGTGCGAATAGAAAAAGACTTGGGGCTATACTGAGCATTATCCCCTAAACATTATAGTACAACTGTTTAGGCAGTGTCTATATCATATTAGGGTTCTATGTAGTCCAGAGCTGAATAAGGCATGTAGAAGGCTATGCACAGGTTTTATGAAGCACTGTGTCATTTTAAATAAGGGACTGGAGCAACAGGGGTTTGAGACCCATGGAGGACCTAGAACCAGCATGGCAGATACCAAGGGACAGATACAATGATGGAAGGAAAGCCCTGCTAAGACTATTTACTAAGCTAAGACTGTCCTCTCTTGCTTCAGTGCCTTTCCCTCAGCACTTACGAGACTCAGATGGTTTGGGGGAGGTGGGGGGGGAGTCAATGAAGACTCCAGATTAGTTTCTAGGGTTGGAGATGACAGACTACCCCCCATCTTTTCATAGTCTTCTTGTGTGACTTTTTGGTCCACTCACCCTGTTTCAGCAGCTAAGCAAATTACCAAGGAGGATGAAAAAGTAGGAACCAAACCCAAAGTCACTTGTGCTAGATTTGGGGATATTTATTTCTGAAGTAGTTTGGCATTCTGGAGAAGAGTGCAGGGAAGGTGGTCTGAGAACATGAAGAGCAGTGAGAAGAAGGGTAGATGACCTGAACTAAGTCACAAGCTTAAGGTAGATATAAGCTTTCTATAGGTAGTGTGACATGATCTAGTTTTGTAAATACAAACAGATAAATAACAGCAAAGACATGAAAGGTCCCTCTGTGTGTTTACACATGCCTGGGATAACAAGTGGGAATGTGAAAAGTCTGCTGAATTCTGGGAGATGGGCCTTGGGATGAGGGTGTGGAAGACTTTGTTTCTCCCTGACAAAATAAAATATATGCACAGATTCCTATTATAGTTAAAAGGATGAGAAGAAAGATAAAAGGAGCTGGGCTCTGGTGGCTTACACTAATCCTAGCTACTCAGGAGGCTGAGATCTGAGGATCACAGTTTGAAGCCAGCCTGGGCAGGAAAGTCCACGAGACTCTCATTTCCAATCAACCACTCAGGAAAGACTGGAAGTCATGCTGTAGCTCAAGTGGTAGAGCTCTAACCTTGAGCACAGAGAGAGAGGTTCAGGGACAAAGCCCAGGCTCTGAATTCAAGCCCCTTGACCAGCCAAAAAGATAAAAGGAAGGGAAGAAGGGACATGGAACGTAGGGGAGGGAAGGAAAACATGTCCTGGGCTGGCCATAGTTTGAAAACCCCATGTGGCCTGAAAATTTACTTACCATCAGTGTCCTGGCCACATTACAACCCAAGGTACCGGCTCCCAGCAGCAGACATTTGACAGACACAACCTTGTCTAAGTCTAAGGTAGGGACCAATCTCCAACACATCAATTTGAGATTTAAATCCACTGATGACTCAGCCAACCTGAAAAATGAGAGATTTCTGTATTCACTCAGTTGACTCATTTGTGTTCCAAATTTTTCCCAAAAGGTATCAGATGAAGCTCGAGGGCACAGGAGGAGAAGGAAAGGTCACCACACAGAATGTGTAGCTACTGAATCCTCTGCAATAGTGGTGGGCCACAAATATGACAGTGAGCTCCTAACAGCCAAGGTGAAAAGGGAAACATGACTATTTCTAAGCTGTGGTATTCATGACCAAGAATACACCAAATACGTAAGTTCTTCCATGTCCAAGTAATGAATACAGAAATGCCTTCCATTTCCTTTTAATAAAGGGTGATAATATTCTTCACCATTAACTATATCACTGGCTTCCATGAGTTATTTCTTATAATGTCCTTCAAAAAAGGCATGTAGGACAAAACTAAGAGGCATGAATAATGAGCTAGACGGTGGCAGTAAGGTGTGGCTGGCTAACAGTCTGAGCAAGAGGCAAGGGCATTTAGGACATCTAGGAGAACACATGGACGGTGTGCCTTCAGGATGTCTATCTACCCTTACACTACTTCTCACAGCAAACTTAGTGGAGTGGAGAGCGTACAGCAGAATGGCTCCCCCTAGACGCGACGTCAGGGCGCAGGCTCAGCCTGACAACCAGTGCACAGAGAGTTATGAAAAAGCCCCTGGAGAACAGGGCACCACACATGTGTACCTCTTGGGATCCATGCACTCGCTGAGGTTCACCATCCTCGGGCCCATGCCTCCTTTCTGGTTCTTTTCCCAGCCAACCGCTTTAGGACAATCTTAAGGAAAATAAAACACTGAGCTTAATAAAAGAGAGAAGAAGAGAAACAAAGAAGCAGCAAACTTCGAAATAGTCAACATTCACAATGTCCTGTGCAGCAACAAGCTTTCAGTTTGTTTCTTTCTCAAAGAGGTTGCAGGGCCTGGGTCTCCATCTTCCTGCCACAGCTGCCTCCCCATTTCCTCAGCTGCTGGGACCACTGGGTGCAAGCCGAGCTTCCTGCACACAAGTTTCCGAGCTGAGCCCAACATGCCCCAACTTTTACCATTATTAGAAGTCCCACTTGCAGCAGAAAGACTCTCCCCAATCAAGACAAGAAGATGTGACTCAGCACACCTTCCACTGAAGCTCCTGTTGGGATCTGAACCTTTGCATGCAGGTTGCCCCCTCTCTTCCGCCACCTCACCAGGCCCCCTGCTCAGCTCTCCAGTGTACACCTGTGTGCTTACAGATCACAGACCAATGTGATTCTTCGTTCATTCAGAATTTCCCCTTCCCTGATGATCCTTTCTTCCCTGTTCCCTTTCAACTCTTGCTGTGGAGGCCTTTGTGACCTCAGGGCTTGTGGGCTTTGTCTACAGAACTTTGTTATGCAGAACACAGCTATATTAAAAATACTACCATGTGAATACCTTTAGTTCACACGATACAGGAAGAGTCTTCATAAAGTTTCCTTTGCAGCTAAGAGAAACATCATTCATTTACAGAAGAAAAGCGGAAGAAAAAAAATAGCCTTTCCTAAAGTAAGTAATCTATATTCAATAGCAAGCACAAAGATGCTTTAATCTGACTGCACAGCTGGAGACGCACAGCCCCTCAGGTCCTAAGGGCAGATGAGGTGTGAGCCACAGCATTGGCCGGCAACATGGCTAATGTGCAAGTCAGTGAGTAGTTTTCATCATGGTGGGCAAGTTCTGGTGGGGGACTTGTAAAAGGGGCTTGGTGGTGGCTAGGAACAGAGACTACCCATGCTTCACTTTAAGTGAACTCTCACTCCATCCCCTAGATAGTCTTTAGGCTGGAGTTTAATAAAATAAATACACGCAGGCTATTTCAGAATGTACCAGAAGAGGGTGCTATATCAAATGCAAATTGCTAAAGCAACAGAAAAGCAATCCATTTCTTTTTTCTTTTTTCTTTTTTTTTGTCGGTCACGGGCCTGAACTCTGGGCCTGGGCGCTGTTCTTCAGCTCTCTGACACAAGACTAGCACTCTACCACTTGAGCCACAGTGCCACTTCCGGCTTTTTCTGCTTATGTGGTGCTCAGGAATCGAACCCAGGGCCTCATGCATGCAAGGCAAGCACTCTACCACAGAGCCACCTTCCTGGCTCCAAAAGCAATAAACTTCTTAAAAGGCTCTGAACAGAGTGAACAGCTTCCTCTACTTACGACATCAAGGCACAGACACTGATAAAATGTTACAAGCTTATCCTTGGTCCTTTTGACTTCTGCTCTTTATATTTTTGGTGGTACTACAATTTGAACTCAGGGCCTACCACTTATCTACTCTCATAGTTCTACGATGTCATGTGTATACAGACACACAGATGCACACAATGGAGCATTGTGTGTGGGGGGGAGGGAGGGGAGGTTCTGAGATTTGAAATCAGAGCCATGTGCTTGCTAAGTGTTCTACCACTTGAGCTACATCCTGAGTCCTAAGATCACACACACACACACACACACACACACACACACACACACACACACACACACATTTTCTCTGTCTCTCTCTGCCTCTGTCTCTCTCTCTGAGGCATATCCATAGATTAAAGAAATAATCCCCCTTAGAACTGTGGGAGGGAATGTTACAAGGAACAAATTTAACAATACATGTGACAGTCCTCCATAAGGCATAGAAGTCACATAAATAGGAGTCACTTTAGAAAGAGGTATACACAGTGCTGTTATAAAGTGAGGAACTCACTATAATGTTGATCAAGCACCATAATATGCTAGACATTGTGCAGTGGTTTCTACATAAGAAACAGACTCCTTGCAAGAAATACATCATGAAGCCGAGCTTTGGGGGCTCAGGCGGCCTGTAATCCTACTCAGGAGGCTGAGATTTGAGGATCATGGTTCAAAGCCAGTCCAGGCAGGAAAGTCTGTGAGACTCTTATCTCCAAAAACCACCAGAAAACCGGAAGTGGCACTGTGGCTCAAGTAGTAGAGCTGAGGGACAGTACCCAGGCCCAGAGTTCAAGCCCCATGACCAACCAAAAAAAAGAAAAAAAGAAATACATTAAGAGGTAGGTATTATGATTTTGATTTTACTCAAATTTGAATATTATGCCTCTGTAAATTATATAAATGTGTATCCATGTCCAGATACTATAAATATGTGTATTCTAATATACATACATGCACTCATGTATCTCTATAGGAAATGTCTCAGCACAAGTTAACACATTTCCAAAATGGGGATAGGAGCTAACATGCCACACAGGATCAAGGGAAGGTAGCTGGTGTGGAAGGACTCCTGAGGGGTCCTGGTCTATGTGGGGAGTGAGGAACTTGCCTTTCCGTCCAGTGCTGATTTACTGTGTGAGAACAAGATCACACACAAAATCAGGAGTGCCATAAAGAAATAAGTACTTTAGCAATTCATCCTTCCTTTAGGAAGGGACAAGAAGAAAGATAAGGTGTAACACAAAATTAAAAATGAAGCCGGGTGCTGGTGGCTCACGCCTGTAATCCTAGCTACTCAGGAGGCTGAGATCTGAGGATCGTGGTTCAAAGCCAGCCCGGGCAGGAGAGACCGTGAGACTTCTATCTCCAATACACCACCAGAAAACCGGAAGTGGCGCTGTAGCTCAAGTGGTAGAGGTTCGCCTTGAGCTGAAGAGCTGAGGGACAGCGCCGAGGCCCAGAGTTCAAGCCCCACGACTGACAAAAAAAAAAAAAAAAAGAAATCGCAGTGGTAGAGCACTTGCTTTGCATGCCTGAGGCCCTGGGTTCGATTCCTCAGCACCACATAAGCAAAAAGAAAAAAAAAAAGTCGGAAGTGGTGCTGTGGCTCAAATGGTAGAGCGCTAGCTTTGAGCTGAAGAGCTGAGGGACAGCGCCCAGACCCAGAGTTCAGGCCCAACGACCAGACCCCCCCCCCCCCAAAAAAAAAAAAAAAAAGAAAGCGATGGAAGTGGCACTGTAGCTCAAGTGGTAGAGCGCTCGCCTTGAGCTGAAGAGCTGAGGGACAGCGCCCAGGCCCAGAGTTCAAGCCCCATGACTGACAAAACAAAAAACAAAAAACAAACAAACAAAAAACAACAACAACAACAAAAAACCAATAAAAATGAAAACGAGGAGAAAACCTCCCCAAGCCTGAGAAAACTGCCTGGAGCAGATGTGCGGGTGCCAATCTCCGCCTTTGTTCCAGGATGAATAGCAGAGTACACTCTGTTCTAAGCAGGACTTCACCAGGCAGTCAGGTAGGAGCTCTGCTCTTCCTCCCTTCTGCTGCCATTGTGACACGATGAATAGGAAGCAAACCTCACTTGCTTTCTGATAAATGATAATTACATGCATTCTCAAAGACCGGCAAATTACCTGGGCTAAATGCCATTTCTGGAAGTCTCACTTCGAAGATGATGCTGTGGGCAATGTCTCTGGCTCCCTGCAGGGTACGGTCACGGAAGCAAAGGACTTCAACAGACTGGAAACTGCCACTCCTGTCGTCATGCCCAGGATGTGCGTTTATTTTATTTGTGTTAAAGAAGGAAAAGAGAGAGCCCACATAAGTACTTTAGAACCCCAGCTGCAGGGAACACACTGCCATCTCTCCTCTCTGACACCCTCAGGACATGGATGGCCTTAACCTCCCACAGATTCTCAGCACAGCACACTTGTGTCCCCCGCCCAAGTAATTAGAGGCAGCTGGACACTGGATGGGCTGGACTTCTCTCCAGGTGGATTTTATATAGCAATCACATAGCAGAGCAGTAATTCTGACAAGCAGAGCTTTAAAATGCTGGAACAAGTGCTTCCAAGATATTGAAAAAGAACCTTTAAAGAAACATGAGGTTCTCCTGGCCTACTCCCTCTGAATTTGACCCTGCACTTCATGAAGCTGCACTTTGCCAGTGGCTAGGAGCCCCACTGGGAAGAGACAGATAGCCAGTCTCCCTGAGGCACAATATCTGCCTCTGTAGTCTGAAGTAAATGTTTTCTCTTAAGCGAAGCAGGCACAAAGAAAAGTGCTCAATTCCTAAGCATAAATGAGCTCTTCCCTACGTTCTTTTGGCGGTGCCCCCTCCAGAGTAACCATCAGCCCACCTTCTCCATCCTCAGAGTTTTGTAAGTGCTGCGAGTCATCATCATGAAATGTATTCTTTTGGGTCCTGCTTATTTCTCTCAACATTATGGTCTGAAAACCATCTGGATGCAGATTGGCTAAGGCAGAGCCTGCCATTGTGAGTCACAGCCCATGATTTACCACCCATTCCTCTGTGGAAGGACACAGGCCCATTCCCCGTTTGGGGTTTGCAAGAATGCCTCTGCTAGGCCCGTGCTTGCTGGGTTCCACTGGCATCCCTGCAATGCACTGCAAACGCGGAGCACCAGGTATTTTTAGGTCTGGTGGACTGTGCCAACATTTCTGCTGCAGCTCCCGAGAGTTCCAGCTGCCCCATGTTTTTGGTGACACTTGTCTAGGTCACTTTAGTAGGTATGTGGCTAGATCTCATTAGGATTTTGGTGCTATTTCTTTGGTGACTAATGATATTCAACATATTTCAAATTGAATAGTGGCCTTTTAGCTAGCTTGTTTCCATTGTTTTAGGGTTATGGAAAGTAGGAAGATGGAAACAATAACAAAATCCTCTCTAAAAGCAAGGCAGACCACAGAAGGGAGGGAGGGCTAGAGCACCTCAGGGTCATGGCCTCTGGCCCCCCACCTCACCACAGTCTAAACTATTTTTAGTACAGTTACAATCACAGGCGGTGGTTCTCCAGCAGACCAGTTTAAGTGCTCACCAGGGGTGGAAACTGGATCACAACTGATGATTGACTTATTTCCTGGTTCTATGCCAACAATGGGGAAAAATACATTTGGGAAAAGAGAAATATGGACATAGGCAGACCCATTGTTGAAAACACATAAACAAAGACAGACAGACACAGACACACACACACTTGTAAATACCATCTGTGGGCTGCTAGGACCAAGAAATTCCTCAAAGGCCATCCAGGGTACTGGGCTAAGTTACAGGGGTCGTACACACCAACTGTTATCTGTGAATAGAAAAAACTTTCTGAGAGCAAAGCGGAGGGCCGTCGTCATAGTGCAGACATCGCTAGTACTCCCCCATCCACTTAATGTGGTTCTGCAGAGCATTAACAGTTTGATACTTGGTGGAGGGATAAAGGGAAGAGAAGAGAGCCCCAGGATCTGACCCAAGTCTACAGCATTTGTCGATGGCAGGAACTGTTGCATTCTCCCCTGCACCCTGTGCTGTGAGTGGGACCTTGTGGAGGGCAGGCAGGAAACATGCTTGGAAGGAAGGAAGACAAGACGGAAGGGAAAGACACAGGGAGGTCTGTCCCAGGCTCTACCTGGAAAACTCTACTTGAGTAAGATGGTACACTTTCTTTTTCCTTTCAAAAGACACTGCACGGCCAGAACTAGATCTTGATTTCTGGATACCATTTTCTCATAAAATGAATCAGAATTGCATAGATACTATGGTTTTAGTGTTATCCTCACATGGTGAATTCTAGGGCTGGGGTGGGGAAAATGCAAGATAAGCCTGGAGCATCTGATAATACCAGAAAATAAGGAAGGCTTTAGAAAAAAGAGATCAAAAGCCTGTCAAAGAGGCAGAGTTTCACTGGCTTATGCTAGAGGGAACAACTTAAACAACAAAATAAATAACAGTTCCAATTTTTAACTGGAAATATAAAATAAGGCTTGGTGGTAACTCAAACCTCTGACCCTGGCTACTTGGGAGGTAGAGATCTGGAAGACCGAAATCTGAGGCAAACCAGGGCAAAAAAAGAAAAAATTTATGAGATCTCATTTCAAATAATGGTTGGGTACAATGGTACCGGCCTGTCACTCAGATATGCAGAAAAGCACAAATAGGAGGATTGTGCTTCAGGGTGGACTGAGCATAAAGTGAGACCCTATTTAAAAAATAACCAATGGCCGGGTGCTGGTGGCTCACGTCTGTAATCCTAGTTACTCAGGAGGCTGAGATCTGAGGATCGTGGTTCAAAGCCAGCTGGGGCAGAAAAGTCCGTGAAACTCTTATCTCCAATAAACCACCAGAAAACTGGAAGTGGCATTGTAGCTCAAGTGGTAGAGCGCTCGCCTTGAGCTGAAGAGCTAAGGGACAGCGCTCAGGCCCAGAGTTCAAGCCCCACGACTGACATAAAAAAAAACCCAAAAACAAAACAAATGTAGATGGGTATGCCTGTAACCCTAGCTACCTAGGAGGCTAAGAATGCTGGGAAACACAATTCAAAACCAGTCTAGGTCAAAAATAGTTGGAGACGCCTCTCCTTCTCAATGAAGAAAAATTGGATGTGGTGGAGTATCCTTATTATCCTGGCTACCAGAAAGCCTAAAATAGGTGTATGCATCCAGGCATGATAATAAGCAAAAATCATGCTGGAGTGCTATATGGTAAGGGTGCCTGCTTAGCAAGTATGAGGCCCCAAGTTCAAATCCCAGACTCTCAAAATAAAACAACTAACAAACACCTAACCAATCAACCAATACAAAAAGGGCTCATGGAGTGGATCAAGTGAAAGAATACTCATCCTAGGCAGGGGTAAGGTCTGAGCATAACGGCACCAAATGAAAAAAAGTACAAAATAAGCATCTATGAGCCGGGCACCAGTGGCTCACGTCTGTCATCCTAGCTACTCAGGAGGCTGAGATCTGAGGATCATGGTTCAAAACCAGCCTGGGCAGATAAGTCCATTAAACTCTTATCTTCAATAAATCACCAGAAAACCAAAGTGGCACTGTAGCTCAAGTGGTAGAGCGCTAGCCTTGAGCTGAAGAGCTCAGGGACAGGGCTCAGGCCCAGAGTTCAAGCCCCATGACTGAAAAAAAAAATCTATGAGCCCCAATGGCAAAATAAAACAACAACAACCAAAAAAAAAACTATGAGCCCACAGTCCTAAATAATGGAGAAAATAAATAAGTAACAGTAAAGGGACGAGTCAAGCCTAACAGCAATCAAACTATAACTGTATAAACTGTTCTCTTCAGGAGTGGAACTTAATCCTTCCTCTCCCTAGAGCAGCTAAACTTGGTGACTCACTTCTGAAAGAAAAAGCCAGCAACTTTACAGTAGAAAATCCTGGTAACTATTACTACCTACCCAAGTGGTCGATTTAACATTGCCAAGGGTGCCATGTGGGCATCAGGTAGGATCAAGCCCGCATCCCACCCCTGCAGGATAGAAAGACAAGGGTGTTTTACCTTAGGCGCATTCCTTCCAAAACCCTAACCATAGCCTAACCCTAAGAACGCACAGGAAAACCCCAGTGAAAGGACAAGCCGTCCTTGAAAGTGTCAAAGGAAGTCTCAGAAACATTCCCGATCTGAGAGGCTAAGGGGACGTGACACCAAAAATGCAAGTGAAACTACGCTGGAGGGGTCCCCGGGTGGGTAAGATGAAGCCACTGGGAACCATAAAGGTCTGAGTGTAGCGTGGAGGTGACAGTGATGGATCAGTACCAACGTGACCAGTCAATGTTGCTTTTTAGTCGGTTGTGGAGCTTGAACTCTGGGCCTTGGCACTGTCCCTCAGCCCTTCAGCTCAAGACTAGCACTCTACCACCTGAGCCACAGCGCCACTTCCAGCTTTTTTCTGCTTATGTGGTGCTGAGGAATCGAACCCAGAGCCTCATACATGCAAGGCAAGCGCTCTACCACGGAGCCACCTTCCCAGCCCCCAACGTTCTTTTAACAATGGGCTTTCCCAAGTGGAAAGAGAATGCATGGGTTGGGACAAGCAGAACTCAAAGAATCAACTCCCTGCCAGGGCTTCCTGTGACTCTGAACTTGTCTTCCTGAGGCTCTCAGGACAGGCTGCTTGCTCATCTTCCATAGGGGACACTTTTTAATTGTTTCTCTCTGGCAGTCATGACCGAGAATCTACTAAGCATAGTATATGTAAAGCCATGTTGTTGTTGTTTTTTCACGTTTTTTTGAGGGAGGGATAAGAGGGAGGGTGGTATTTTGCGACAGGTCTTGCTATGTAGCCCAGGCTGGCCTTGAACTCAAGATCCTCCTGGCTTGGCCCTCTGAGTCCTGGGATTACTACGCTTTATTGAACAAAAAATGGGAGCGGCAGGGGAAAGAGGCGTGATGCTAGAACAGCTTACGCTGAGGCAGCGGCCTGACAGAGCGGGGAAGCCCTGCTGGAGAGGGGTCAGCAGGTGCTGGTCCCGCACGTAACTGGTTTTAAGACTTGGTGGAAGTTCCTTCCTCCTGGGCAAAATGAAAAGGTTAAATCATTTTGTCTCAGGATTCCATCAACCCCACACTCAAAATTCAGATAAAGCTCACGGAATAACACAGCTATCACTAAAGCTCAGTGGTGTGGGGCACCTGAAGGTATCGGATGGGTCATATAGGAAAAACCTAGGCAGAACCAACCCAGAAAACGTCATTCCTAATCTCAAATGTGACTCCATCAACCGAGGCCCTTATCCAATGTCCTGAAGCACTCTCGTGATCTTTGACAATTGACTTAACCTCTCTGAGCCATCAGAGAACTCTCTCCTGCACTTAGCAAAGACAGGGTGTGAGGCTATTGTTTGGCAGCATAAATTCGCTGTGCTGCACGGCTTCCTTGACCTTTCGTGCAGCTCCGCTCATCGCCATACGGCTATTTACCTTTAGCTTCAAGGCTATCTTGTTTGTTGTAGACAGGAAGGATAAGAATAAGGCCCAAGTTATAAAATATTCTCTGGACCTAAGTTTTATTATAAATGTACAGTTGGGGCTGATATCTACATATAAAAATGAGAATGTTTTATCAGATACCACAAATGGATGCTAAATCCAAAGAATGAGCACATCTCAGACACTCAAAGGCAATGGGGAAAATGTACTAAGCAATGTGTCTTTGAACAGAAATGCCCAAGAATAAGTTTGTTAGAACAGTCTGACCTAAGATGAGCTATAGAGAACTGGACTGATCTGCTTACCGATCAATTGGACTGTTCTATCGCTTACAAAGGGAGGTCAGCCCAGAGAGGTGCAAAGGCAGCTCTACCCAGAGGAGGCACTTCAGGAAACAGACAGCAGCCGTCATACAGGAAATGATAGGATCTGTCTAACATCCGACTTATTCTTTCTCTGATGATTCAAAAGTGATCCAGCCATGTGGCTCATACCTGTAATCCTAGCTACTCAGAAGAGAGCTGAGGATCACAGTTGGAAGCCAGCCCATATCACAGACTCAGAACCCTTGCTCTGAATTACCCACTGGAGATCACATACTTCTCTGTATTGTCATATCAACTTACTCAACTCAACACAGCTTCAGGTGTACAGGTGATTTGAGAAAGCCTGTGTAAACTACATGGCCTTAATCAGAGCAAAATGCTCACCTTAGAAAGCCCTTACCATGAACCATATGAAAACTGCCCACTACTTCCTGAAGGCCTACTGTGTGTCAGCCACAGACCCAGGAGCTTCCCACAGAGGAACACCAGTCCTCATCAACTCACTTTTGCCTGAATTCGTTCTTCCATTGCATTTTACACAAGGGGCACCAGACCACAGGATACAGAGGCAAGAGGGGGAGGAGGAATGAAAGAAGTACTGGCCCTGCTGGAGCTTCTACTTAGAGGGAAGAAAAGATATTAATCAAAGATCACCCCCCAGGGGCTGGGAAGGTGGCTCAGTGGTAGAGTGCTTGCCTTGCATGCATGATGCCCTGGGTTCGGTTCCTCAGCACCACATAAGCAAAAAGAAAAAAGCCGGAAGTGGCGCTGTGGCTCAAGTGGTAGAGTGCTAGCCTTGAGCTGAAGAGCTGAGGGACAGCACCCAGGCACAGAGTTCAGGCCCCACGACCGGACCAAAAAAAAAAAAAAAAAAAAGATCACCCCCCCAAAATAAGATGAAACTGTGCTAAACTAATGCTAAGAAGAAAGAAGCACACTGCTGGCATCCATGACAAGAATGTAATCTTTTTATAGAGGAAAGGGATAGCGGTTACTGTGATTTCTCACAGTAATGAAAGAAGTATACCCTATACGGGGTATAGGATTTGGGAGAGGTGGAGAGAAGAGGACAGAAAGGGTATTACGGGCAAAGGCCATGAAAAGGGCCTGTAACAGGAAGCACACACTAAGATCTCCATGGAGCCAGGCCTCCATGAGGCCACATTACTCAGCTTCTACCCTTAGAGCACAGTGGAGCCTTCAGGTGTTTTATTTTTGGGAGTCAGCTGACTGTCTACAAGACAACTTCAGAAGATGGAGGGTGACTAGAGGCCACCACAGACATGAGGGAGGCTGTCCAGAACCTACTGCATTGAAGCAGATGAAGGATGATCATAGCTTAGCTGGGGGTGGTGGCAGAAGAAATGAAAATGCAGCAGACAGAGAAGTTCAGGACATGAGATCTGTAGAGTGTAGGAGTAACGGGGCAAAGCAAAACCTGAAGGCCTGGATTTCTGGCTCCTGTGAGTAGATGGAGGTAGTGTCATTCAGACAGTGGTACCCAGGAAAGGACCATCAGCCTTGGGGTAAAGGTCGAGAGTTGAATGTGAGGTACAAGAGCAGGCAGGCAGATCAGTCATGGGCATCCTGGGTGGTAAGAGAAAGCCAGAGGGATTCCAACATGTCTCCATCTTCAATGTGCATACACAAGGATCACTGGGGAAGAATGCCTTCCAGGGATGGAATCTAAGTGCTGGTAAAAGAAGAGGTGGGGCTGGGATGCAACTCAGTGGCAGAGATCCTGCCAAGCATCTTCAAGGCCCAGGACTGTATCCCTAGCACTGGAAGGACAGGAGAGGGAGGGAGTAGTGGGAGGGAAACACTAGAGAAGAACATGAAGGCAAAACACAGATGCTGGAGTTTAAACTGAATAGAACGCTGGTTCTTAGAAGAACAGGGTGAAAACTTTCAAGGAAATGCCATGCTCTAAGAATACTAAGGAGAAGCTAGAATTCTTCTCAAGAGCACAAACTAGGCTAAGGCACTGATTTCCATCATGTTTTCAAGGGACACATAGCTTTCAGAGAAATCACTCGTGGGATTCTGCTCAAGACCTACTTTCCCTGGCACCTCCCCTGTTCCCACCGGCCGACAGCTGTCCCCTCCTCTCTACCTTTGCGCTTCATGCACCTTGAGTGTCTGGCAGCAAGCTAAGTGGAGGCCTGAGAGCTGGAAAAAGCCTGGTTGCTGTGCTAGGTGCTCATGGACTGGCAGGGATCAGACAGGAAGTGTAGGAGGAAGGCTGAGGCCAGACTTCAGAAGAGGGAGTTGAAACACTGCCAGGAGTCAGACAGTGCTTCTCTGCACAATGAGTCAGAGAAGGGGGAAAGGTGGGGAGGCATCAGTTAGTGACAGATGGGAGATAAAGGGCAGGGAGATGGGGACACATGGGTATCTGGAGGGCAGAGATGTAGCCAGAACCCAGGCCGTATTTGGGGGGGAATATCAGGAGGCTGAGGTTACAATGATGAAGCTCCATTTAAAGAGGCCTTGAATGCTAAGCTAGGTAGTTTCAACTTTACCCTAAAGTGAACAGGAACCTGGAAGAATGACATGACCAAACATTAGCAAATGCAGTTGGACAGCATGGGGAGGTTGGATGGGAGTGTTTAGGACCACAGACTAGAGGCCATAGAAACTCCTATAATCTAGAATAAAATAGGACAAACAGGTCGAGTATCAAAGTATCATCTCTTCAGTTCTTCTTTACTACTACCTAAGTTTCTGGTCAACTGTGCACAGGTCAGCATAGTCTTGCCTGAAAGACCTCCCAGTCTATGAGAACAGGTGTGACCAAATCTCAATTTCTGTCTCACAAGGAGAAGCTTACTACATGTGCCGAGGAATTCCAGCCTCTCCTGAGCCACAACCCTAACCAAGTAAAGAACAACTGGCCTGATCAGGCCAGGCAGTCGGTCTCAGCAAACCCAGAACAGATCACGAGACCCACGAATTTACACAGTTGTTGGGAAGAAAAGAAATGGATCCCTATGGAATACCTGCTATGAGCCAAGTATTTCACTCAGGTTTAAGCCTCACTGAACCACAGTGGGAGGTCATAGGTCATAGTGCCACCATTTAACAAAAAACAAAGGTGAAGAAAGGCCACAGAGCCATCAAGGGAATGCTGGACATCAAATCCAGATTTACTCTGGATTCCCAGGGTAAAGCAAAGACGGCCTCCACTCTCCTGATGTGAGAATGGAAAGGTACAAGTCCAGGGGCCATCTGCCCCTCAAATAGAAAATGCAGGCACTAAAACCCATTTCAGCTCCTCATGCTGCGCTGTACCCTCAGTTACCAACCACTCCATCTTATTGCTACTGAGTTAGCTACATTACTATCCTATGATAATAATGGAGAAGAAAAGAATTTTAGTAAAAATGAAATCCTCATTCCTTGACTTAAAAAAGGGCTTCATTTGAAAATAAAATGCTAGTGCAATTGATAAAAAATGTGCTTAAAAAAAAGAAGACATACCGTCTGGGGACATCGGCTGAATAGTAGGATATTCACAAGGCCCTGGCTTTGATCCTTTGACTACAGCACCAAACAAACATCCTAATTTCAGGTGTCTCTTTTCTTAGCTGTGATATACTTATACAGCTATTGAAATTATGCTACCTGATTTCACAACTGCAAAATACTTTAATTATACACACACACACACACACACACACACACACACACACACACACAATAGCCAATCAGATACATGTGATAGCTTCTAAAAGATATTTACAGTACTCTTTCATTCATTCAAAAGAACTGTATTGAGAGGCTCAGACAGGTACTAGACATGTCACAGCACAGATGCACAAGGCATGGGCCCTGCCCTCTAGGAGCGCACAGTCTACCATGGGACAGATGTGGATCTGTAAATGAGGATCAGGGAGTAGAGGGGTGAGTCTTGAGAGGAACAGATCACACATGGCCACACTCAGGAGAAGGCTGTATAGTGGGAGAATTTCAGTAAGAACAGAGAAAATGACTTAGGATGTTCACAAACAGAATGTTTCAGGAAGATGATACAACAGGAGGAAAAGACAGACACACACAGAGTTCTGGGTATAACTGAGTAGGTGGTGGTGACAGTGCTGGGGTGGTAAAAAGCTAGAGCAATAGTTTACAGGGAAGTAGAGGATGGGGATGAGGGAGGGAGGGTAGCTTGGGTCAGAGGGAGGATAGCACTGGGCTTGGTTAATGAATGACAGTGAATGTGAGCAGTGCAAGAAAGATTTTTCTATAGGTATATAAGATAAAAGCAAGGACAGGCACCAGTAATCCTAATGATTCAGAAGGCTTGAGACTTGTAGGACCAAAGGTTTGAAGCCAGCTAAGGCAGTAAAGTCCTGGAGACTCTTGCCAATTAAACAGCAAAATGCCAGACTGAGATGTGGCTCAAGTGGTAGAGTACCAGCCATGAGCAAGAAAGCTGAGTGAGAGCGGTATCTACCGCTGCCCAGAACTGAGACAGGGAAGCCTAACCTACAGTGGTGGCAGTGGAAACAAACAAAAACATGGATGTACAAAGTATCAGGAGGGATAATAGAGACAACTTTAGCACCAACAGAAAGAAAGCAACCCAAATGACTGAGCTGTAAGAAAAAGAAGGTAAGGGCTGGGAAGGTGGCTCAGTGGTAGAGCGCTTGCCTTGCATGCATGAGGCCCTGGGTTCAATTCCTCACCACCACATAAGCAAAAAGAAAAAAGCCGGAAGTGGCACTGTGGCTCAAGTGGTAGAGCGCTAGCCTTGAGCTGAAGAGCTGAGGGACAGCGCCCAGGCCCAGAGTACAGGCCCCACGACTGGACCCCCCCACAAAAAAAAAAAAAGAAAGAAAAAGAAGGTAATTCAGAGCAAAGAGCTGACCCAGGAACGGCAGGGGTAGGAGATGGCAGAGAGAAGCGCTAAAGAGATCTAAGAGGGCTTAAATTTAATAGTAGCCTATCGTAACATGAACTTCAGATTTGGTTTTTACTGAATAATAAAACCATACTCAAAGTTTCTCTGACCTTTGTCCTTTGACCTTGGAAGAAATCACTGTAGTGTTTAAGCAAAGACAGCAGCACCAGGTTGCCATCATACTTGATTAAGAAGTAAGGCAGGGCCGTGACTCCTTCTGTCTGACAGAGATCATCATATGCAAGCTCCAGGGCTTGGATCTGCAAACAGAGAAGATGAAGCTATTCTCCAGAATAAATTACATACCCAGTTCTCAGCTAAAAGCTGACATCAAATAAAAGGCATCTTAAAGCCAGAAGGCTGGAAATGACTGATCATACCCATTACTCTTCAGCAGCAAATGAACAAAAATGCCCCTAATAACACCACTTAACCTTTATATAAAACTTTGCCTATGCAAGGCAATGTGTCTTACACGGCGGCACAAAGGGACATTTTGTGGTTCATTGTGGTGGTTCTCTGAGATGCCAGCCACAAAGGCTTAGAGATAACCAAGGTTTCATTTTCTCCTGTGATAACCCAACAAGACCCTATCAGTGATCAACTTCACCACAGTCCTCAATCTAGCTCCAATTAAGATATAATTCACATATCTTCTATATTGCTTGTTTAAAATGTGTATAAGTTGATGTGGGTTTTTTGGTGTTTTTTTTTCTTTGGTTAGTCGTGGGGCCTGAACTCTGGGCTTGGGCATTGTCCCTCAGCTCTTCAGCTCAAGGCTAGCACTCTACCACTTGAGCCACAGCGCCACTTCTGGCTTTTTCTGCTTATGTGGTGCTGAGGAATTGAACCAGGACCTGCCTCATGCATGCAAGGCAAGCGCTCTACCACTGAGCCACCTTCCCAGCCCCTAATGTGGTTTTTTTTGTGGGTATATTCTCAAAGTAGAGCATTCATAACTGAGGTAATTTTTTTTTTTTTTTTTGTCAGTCCTGAGGCTTGAACTCTGGGCCTGGGCGCTATCCCTCAGCCTTCAGCTCAAGGCAAGTGCTCTACCACATAAGCCACAGAGCCACTTCCAGTTTTCTGGTGGTTTATTGGAGAAAAGAGTCTTATGGACTTTTCCTGCCCAGGCTAGCTTTGAACTGTGATCCTCAGATCTCAGCCCCCTGAGTAGCTAGGATCATAGGTGTGAACCACCAGTACCTGGTTTTACTGAGGTAATTTTTGAACATTTCTGTCCCCCCTAAAATGAAAATCCATACCTACAAGCAATTAATATCCACATACACTCATTTCCCCCAATTTGGATTTCTTCTCAGAAAATTAGTTTTGTAAAATTACAATCTTGGATTTATTATAAATTAGTTAATATTAAAAAAAATTATTAATGGCCTTTTTCTGGCCTCAGAATTCAGGATCTTAGTGACTAATGTTTTTCATGAATTCAGACCCATGTGACACTCCATCTTTGCCTTAACAACAGTCAGAAGTCTCTAGTTTAGGGTCTGTTATTTTCATTACCTGATGGTTTTAATTGCTCTTCTGGGGACTAATCTCTAATGATGACTAGCTCTGCAAGGCTCTGCACTATAATTCCTGTTGGAGAAGTTCTGCCACTTGGTTACGAGGCTGAGAGAAGGCCTGTGTTTTGTTTGAAAGACTTTATTCTCAAAGGATATTGCTTTGTATCTCCCCACAATAAAAGTGATAAACCACATTTGGGTAAATTACTGTAGTCTTTCAAAATGATCCTATAATTCCTTCCCTTAGGTATTTGGTAAAATACCACAGAACATCTGAAAAATCACTATTCATTACTTCTTTAAAAGTATCAAAACGCAGCCTGGTGCCGGTGGCTCCCGCCTGTAATCCATCACAGTGCAAAGCCAGCCCAGGCAGGAAAGTCTGTGAAACTCTTATCTCCAATAAACCACCAGAAAACTGGAAATGGGACTGTAGCTCAAGTGATAGAGCGCTAGCATTGAGCTGAAGAGCTGAGGGACAGCGTTCAGGCCCAGAGTTCAAGCCTCACCACTGACAAAACAAACAAAGTATCAAAACGGGAGCTGGGATGTAGCTCAGTGGCAAAGTGCTTGCCTAGCAAGTGTAACATCCTGGGTTCAATCCCCAGTACCCCCCTTCCCACCCCCCCCCCCCAGAAAAAAAGACAAAAATAAATAAAAGTATCAAAATGGGTCAGGTGTGGTGCACAGTGGCTCAAGGCCATGATCTTAGCTACTTGGGAGACAGATCTGGAGGATCAAGTTTCTAAGCCAGCCTGGACAAAAAGTTCCATGAGATTCCATCTAATCAATGACAGGCATGGTGGTAAATGCCTGTCATCCCAGATATAAGAGGAAGTACAAACAGGAAGTTTGAAGTCCAGGCCAGCATGGGCATAAATAGAGACTGTATCTCAAAAATACCAACACAGAATGGGCTGCTGGAGTGACTCAAGTTGTACAGCACCTGAGTTTTTAAAAAGTATGAAGATGAATATACAAAATATATTAGGAGCATTTTTTTTTCAGTCGTGGGGCTTGAACTCTGGGCTTGGGCGCTATGCCTCAGCTCTTTAGCTCAAGGCGAGTGCTCTACTGCTTGAGCCACAGCACCACTTCTGGTTTTCTAGGGATTTATTGGAGATAAGAATCACACAGTCTTTTCTGCCCAGGCTGGCTTTGAACCTCAATCCTCAGATCTCGGCCTCCTGAGTAGTTAGGATTACAGGCATGAGCCACCGGTGCCTGGCCAGGAACATTTTGTGAATACCATTCTCAGTACTATTTCTGGAGGATTCCATAACCATTGCCTTTCAATCCAGAGAAATGCTGCTTGTCTTTGGTTCAATTGTCTTGGACAATTACTTACACAGAAACCCAATTTTGCCTGCATTTTGCTTTGTCCATACCTGTTTTGGTGAAAACCTTTGATCCAAGCTCACTGGCCCCTGAATAAGAGGTATGCTTTCAGGAAGACAAAGAGCAGGATAGCAAAACCAGTAATAGAAGTGGTACTTCTTCAAATCCTGGAATAAAAAATACAAATCCAGATACTAGAGTTGCACTGGTCATTAAACTGAAATGTATCCATTAATACAACTACTTACAGCCACCAAGAGAGAAAAGCTGATGTACACAGAGTATGTCCAGCCTGTCAAATATTCTCATCTACAGGAGAAACTGCAAAAGAGCACAGAGCTTCCTTGACCCAGAAAGCCCTCACATACTATCTAGTAATATAAAGCATTCTACCAATCATTTTCTAACAGAAAATGCAAAATAAGTGATTACCTCTGCCACATGCTTTAATAAACCACCTGGGAGGAATCCATTATTATCCCATCTTAAAGCAGAAAACTGAAGCTTAGGAATGGGTATATGACTTGAAACCAACAGAATGGTACATGGCAAAGCAGGGATCAGAGCTGTTTCCAAAACTGTTTGTACCACATGCACTCAATGAGCCAAGGCTGCAGGCCCCACCTCTGAACACAAGTACATTCTGCCCAAGTCACGTAAGGTATTACTCAGAAAGCTATGATATTCATAAACCTACACATGCGTGACAGGAACCCTCTGTTGAAATGCTTGGGATTCTGAAGTACTTGTGTGTGATTGTATGGGTGTGTGGGGGTGTAGATAGATAGATAGATAGATCAATTGATAGATAGATCAATTGATAAGGAAACTCACTTATGTTTTATACACACTGTATGTACATGCCCTATTTTCAGGCACCTGATTTTTAACTTCAGCCATCACAGGAGGCTGAGTGTGAAATTTTTCACTTGTGGTGTCAGGTCAACATTTGATAAGTTTTAGACTTGGGAGTATTTCAGGGTTTAGGTTTTCAAATGAGGGATGCTTGACTGGTATAATGTTGCCCTTGGCAATGCTGTCCTAGTGAAGTACATACAAAATATCTAAGGTAAAACATGAGATAATCTGTAATATCATTAATAGGTCTGAGTCCCATGCCTGGACAGTTCCTTACCACAGCTCACTCTCTGTAGTAGAGATAAAGCAAGTGCTTGACTAACAGTATGAGTCACCAATCACCGACCGACAGAAGGGTTGACCACTCCCACCCCAGGTCCAAGAGACCAAGGTAAAGGGGTTTGGGGGGCTGTTCCTGAGATCCCCACTTGGCTGATGGCTCTTGCCTCTGAATTTCTGCAGCCTGGAACTAGAATCTCAAGAACTAGGAAACTTCTTCCCCCACAGAGCCTAATCACCTTCCTGTCACTCATTTTATTTTTTTTGGAGGGTATTAATTGTACCAATGAGTTTTTGCCATAATACATGACTTTTTTTTTTTTTGTCAGTCATGGGGCTTGAACTCTGGGCTTGGGCACTATCCCTGCGCTCTTCAGCTCAAGGCGAGTGTTCTACCACTTTAGTTACAGCACCACTTCCGGTTTTCTAGTGGTTTATTGGAGATAAGAGTCTCACGGACTTGGGGCTGGGAAGGGAGTCTCACGGACTTTTCTGCCGGGGCTGGCTTTGAACCGTGATCCTCAGATCTCAGCCTCCTCAGTAGCTAGGATTACAGGCATAAGCCACCAGCGCCCAGCTGATACATGACTTTTTGTTGGGACATAATTCATACACCATAAAATCTACCATGTGCAAGTGTATACTATGATGTAGATTTCTTTAGTTCAGTATATGGACAAGGCTGAATAAACATAACAGCTACTTCTAGAACATTTCCAGCAGCCTAGAAAGAAACCCTTTATCAGCAGTAAATCCTCTTCCTCTGGGGCTTTTCATATAAATAGAACCATGCTTGCTGGTTTTTTGTGTTTGTTTTTTTTCTTTTGATTTTGGGGTATTTTTTTTTTTTGGTGCCAGTACTGAGTCTTGAACTCAAGGCTCAAGTGGTAGAGCGCTAGCCTTGAGCTGAAGAGCTGAGGGGCAGCGCTCAGGCCCAGAGTTCAGGCCCCACAACCGGACCCCCCAAAAAACAAAAACAAACAAACAAAAAATATAAATTTATATATAAACATGCTTCCAGATAAGAAAGACTAGTAACTATAGTTTCCATAGTCTCTAACTATGCCACTAATGGATCAGCATAGAAAAAATTCCCTTTTCACAATGGTGCAATAAAGCGCAAAACTGAAATTAATGAAGTGTCTGGTCCTTTGAGGCAGAAAAATAGCAGAAAGGAAAGCAGAAACGTCCCCAGAGCTTATTCTCTCTCCTTTGTGCTTAAATGATTTGTCATAACTGATCTTTTAGCAAAAGGTTAACCAATTCAAGATGAAGGACCTCACACATTCTAAGAAGCTTTATCAGGTCATCTTCCAGAGTCAAAAAGCTTGAATTTCTTATGATTCCTTTCAGGTCATAAAGGGCTTGGATCAAATTAAACACAAAGCCCCTTGTGTCTGCAGATTTTAAAGAAGAGATTATAATTTTTTTTAAGTCAGGCTAAGAATGTTTAGTAAAAAGGGGAATAAAGGCCAACACACCTACTGATCTAGGAAATGCCCTAAAATTTTAAGTAAGAACTAGTGTTTCTTTTTTTTGTTTGTTTGGGGGGGGGGGGGGGGTGGTTCTGGTCGTGGGGTCTGAACTCTGGGCCTGGGCGCTGTCCCTCAGCTCTTCAGCTCAAGGTTAGCGCTCTATCACTTGAGCCACAGAGCCACTTCTGGCTTTTTTCTTTTTGCTTATGTGATGCTGAGGAATCAAACCCAGGGCCTCAGGCATGCAAGGCAAGCGCTCTACCACTGAGCCACCTTCCCAGCCCCTGGCCAATTGTGTTCTATTCATAAGAACCCTTGATATAAAATGGATTGGTGGACAAAACCCAGAAATCTTCAGTGATGTTAAATCTATCCCAGTAGAGCACCTATAAAATCACTGAATGTGTAGACAAACTGACAGAAAATTGAATCATCTTTCTCTCCTCTGTACTCTAACTTGTTAGGAAAAGTACTCTTGGTAGGTTTGAGTTCCATCATCCCTTCTTGTGCCTGGTAGTAAGTCAGATGGGCAGCATTCAAGACTAGTAGGTAGAGGGAGAAAGACAGACCTAAGATGTGGTAATAAATCAATCAATCAATCATGGGAGGGGATTAACATCCAAAACTGGACAAGTTGTGCTAAATCAACCTGCTTAACAGGAAGCAACATGAATATACTGGAATTCCTTAACTCTTTTTTTTCTTTTCTTTCTTTCATTTTCTTTCTTAGAACTGGGGTTTGAGCTCAGGGTCTCATACTTGTTACACAGGCAGTGTACTACTTGACTTCTCCAACACTCATAACTTACTATAAATAAACAAAATGGGAAAAATACCAACATGCCCAATATTGCTCATAGCAACATTTTTTTAAATAATAGGGAACATTAGAAATAATGTAAGGTTTACCAGGAGTCTATGGAACATACACTTGACAGAACATTATAGAGTAAACCTTATTAAAGAGTCAATTGGCTTTTTTTGGGGGGGAAAGGGGGGTCGGGCATGGGGCTTGAATTCTGGGCCTGAGCACTGTCCCTGAGCTCTTCAGCTTAAGGTAAGCACTCAACCACTTGAGCCACAGTGCCACTTCTGGTTTTCTGGTGGTTTATTGGAGATAAGAGTTTCATGGACTTCCCTGTTCCGAGCTGGCTTGAATTATGATCCTCAGATCTCAGCCTCCTGAGTAGTTAGGATTACAGGAGAGCACCACCGGTGCTCAGCAAGATTGCCTTTTTAACACACACATAACAAGCATGCACACACACACACATGCATACCACATAACTCTTCTATTCACTGAGATTTATATCCAGATAAACCCACCAAAGCTAAAATTATCACATTATGGTTTGGAAATGTTTTATACAATGAACTTTAGACTAGCCTGCCTTAAACATACTCTGACATTAGCCTACAGTGGGCAAAATCAGCTAATGCAAAGTATCTTGCAAAAGCATTGAATATCTCATGTTATTTACCAAATACTATACTGAAAATGGAAACTAGAATCACTGTCTGGATATGTTTTCACATCAATGTGAAGTTAAAAAAAAAACCTAAGTGTGGGCTGGGAAGGTGGCTCAGTGGTAGAGCACTTGCCTTATATGCATGAGGCCCTGGATTTGATTCCTCAGCACCACATAAGCAAGAAGAAAAAAGCCGGAAGTGGCGCTGTGGCTCAAGTGGTAGAGTGCTAACCTTGAGCTGAAGAGCTGAGGGACAGTGTCCAGGCCCAGAGTTCAGGCCCCACGACCGGATTCCCCCCCCAAAAAAAAACAAGTGGAAGTATTTACACATACTTGCATGCAGCTGCCATCACTCCAGCAATCCCCCTTCTGCCCCCTAGGTGTCCATGTTACCCTCATGCAGCTACTCAAGGCTGCCCTTAGCAGTCTTTTCTATCTTCCTAAAACTGTGTGGTCAATCTACCAAGTGTCCCCCAAAGGTTTGGCCCTCAGCCTAGTGTGCTATTGGGAATAGTGGAACATTTAGGAGAGGAAGTTAGGCCCCTGGGGATGGGGTTTTGAAAGGGACATTTGACCCTTCCTATCTCTCTTCACTTTCCAATTGCCATGAGATGAGCACTATCTCTGCACGTGCTCCCACCATGATGTACTCTGCTGCTCCAGGATCACGGGGCAAGGAGGCCAAGTGACCGCACACTAAACCCTGAAAGTGAGATCCAAATTCATCTTTCCCCCTCGTTAAGTCAGCTGCCTTAGGTGCTCCGCCGCATGTCAGGAAGCTGACTCTCACAGTGAGCTCTGAGGACTGACCTTTACAAAGATGCTGGTAATGATGAAACCACACTCCTGGGCATTGAGGTGGTTTTCTCTTGTCCTGAATGAGAGGACCTAGATTACTGAGTTAGAAACCACATCAACTATTGCCAGTGTGGTCAGTGGAAAGGACTAAGCCTGCAGTGCTAATGGGTGCTGGGACTGCCTGCACTAACTGAACTGCTCCAGAATGCAGCAGAGAGCAGAGCATCCTCCCAGGCTGCTGGGCTGAGCCAGGAGCCTCCACCAGTCTCTATGCAACAGAGGCCCATTACTTACAGCAAAGGTCAAAAGCAGGAACTTGTTGAGGAGCTCAGGATTTTCAAGTGCAGCACCCGACTTGATGGATTCCCAGATCTGCCAGAAGAAAGAAAAGAGTGATAGCCGGGCGCTGGTGGCTCACGCCTGTAATCCTAGCTACTCAGGAGGTTGAGATCTAAGGATCGCGGTTCAAAGCCAGCCCGGGCAGGAGAGACCGTGAGACTCCTATCTCCAATAAACCACCAGAAAACCGGAAGTGGCGCTGTAGCTCAAGTGGTAGAGCGCTCGCCTTGAGCTGAAGAGCTGAAGGACAGCGCCCAGGCCCAGAGTTCAAGCCCCACGGCCGACAAAAAAAAAAAAAAAAAAAAGAAAGAAAAGAGTGATAGCAGGCTGCCAGGAGTCTCTGAGCTCTGTCAAGCAAAGCACAGGATCGAGAAGTACGAAGATCTTCTTGCCTTCGGGCCCAGCCTCATCCCAGCTCTGTGCTGGGGTTACCTGTGCTTCGTTACCCGACTGCCCACTTCATATTGCCTTTCTTTCTGGTGACCCCCTCCCCTGGCCTCTGAGCCAAGGGAGAGAGTCCAAGTGCCTGCTGATAAAGGCTCAGCCTAGAAAAGAAGACCCTGCGACTCTCATGCCTTCCAGACTGCTGCCGGCAAGTCTGCACTTATTGTCTCCTATCCAGGCACAGAGAGGGCACATAGAGGTTGTGGAAGTAAAAGACAGTCAAGAAGCTTTCCATCAAGGAAGAAAGATGGGCACAGGTGTACAAGTTCAGTACCATTTGGACGGGCTAGGTAGAATTCCTGTGAGGAATGCCAGGCCCTGCTAGGAGAGGGGCAAAGAGCCTAGGAAGTGATCTGAACTACACAGAAGTGACCTCTTAAATCCTTATTTGGGATTTGCCTTGAGAGCTGGGAAAGGGAGAATGAAACTCCAGTTTATGTACACTCAGCAAGCAATGTGTCTGGAAGCAAAAACTGGTCCTGGTCAACAGCTGGTGATCACAAGATGTTTTAGTAGCTAAAATTAGTTGCTAAACTTTTGAGTTGCTAAGCAGGACAAAACAGAGTTGCCAACAGAAGATCCATTCCCCAGTATGGGTGTGAGAGGGAATAAGCAAAGAGCAGTACGAGTCCCTGCTGTTCCCTCACAGCCTTGGAGGGGCTGGGCATGGACCTGGGTTTCTGACTAGCTTATGGGGTAGTGCAAAAACTGCCAGGAAAAGTCTGCGCCCTGGTCCAGGAGGGGAATCCTGTCAGAGCAACCTGCTTTTCCCCATGATGGAGAAAGGCCTGACCCAACTCTCTGAAGAATACCTTTAAGCATGTGGACTGAGTGGGAGACCCAGGGATAACTAGGATACAAGTCAAGAAAAATGATCACCACCCCCAGAGTCACCAAATGAGGCTGCTCTGGGGGAAAGGAAACCCGCTCAGAATCAGTGGGTACCTCCTTCTCTGGCCACTGCACCCAGAAACAGGACCTGTTTTTCTCCTTATGTTGGTGTCTTTCTCAGAGCGATATTTGTAGAAAGGCAATTGTACCTACTTTTGGAGCAAGGTATACTCTATGCACTTACACAATGTGTCATGACCAAATGAGGGCAACTGGCACTTGTCTGTTAGGAACTTTGAGAATTCTCTCTTCTGGGAAGTGGCGCTGTGGCTTAAGCGGCAGAGCGCTCGCCTTGAGCGCAGGGACAGCGTTCAAGCCCCAAGACCGGGAAAAAAAAAAAAAAGAGAGAGAGAGAGAGAGAGAATTCTCTCTTCTGGAGAGAGTTATTGGGAATATGTAATAAATTGCTGTCAGCTAGTTACTCTCTGTGCTATGTAACACACTAGGGGTTTTCTCTCCTAGCTAATGGTATTAACTTGTTGTCTACTCTCTAATTCTGTCAAATCAATTGTTTTAGATTCCATATGCACATAGCATTTGTCTTTTTGTACCTAGCTTCTTTCACTTAATCTGATGTCTTCTTCTCCCTGGGTGTTGGTGGCTCATGCCTGTAATCGTAGCTACTCAGGAAGCTGAGATCTAAGGATTGCAGTTCAAAGCCAGCTGAGTGGGAAAGTTTGTGAAACTCTCATCTCCAATTAACCACCAGAAAACTAGAAGTAGAGCTGTGGCTCAAAGTGGTAGAGCACTAATCTTGGACAAAAGCACTCAGGGACAGTGCCTAGGCCCTGAGTTCAAGCCACACAACCAACCCAACAAACAACAAAATCTAACGTCCTCCAATCCCATACACACTGCCACAGATGACAGGGTTTCTTCTTTTTATGGCTAATATTCCATGTCTACTACATTTGCTCTATACATTCACCCATTAACAGACATCTTGGTTGACTGCATATCTGGGCAGTGAGTAGCACTGCAATGATCATGGGAGGGTAGTAGCTCTGGAACACAATGATTTCATCTCTGTTGATGTTCTCCAATAGTGGGTTTCTGAATCCTATGCTAGTTCTATTTTTGATATTCTGAGGATCCTTCACACTGATTTCCACAATAGCTGCTCTAGTATACATTCTGGAATCAAAAACATATAAGGCGATGTTTGTTTTTAAGGCTAAAGATCTCTCAATTAAGTGGGATAAACTGTCCCTTCCCCTCCTAATGGACCACCTTAATTCTTCTCACTAATGCAGACGTGAAGAAGCAAAGCAAAGACACTGCAGGTAGAAAGAAGAGGAAAGAGGAGAGAATTAAGGGAGCAAAGGAGTTATCAGTGATTTGCTCCAAGTGAGGCAGGGAAGGCAAGGGCAAGCATGGTGCCTTATAAGTCAGCTGAGGTCCATTAGATCTCTGGAGTAATAAACTAAAATTCACCAACCTCTTTGCATATCTACTATGTACTAGTATCTACAACAGATCCATGTGTCTGATGCGGAAAAGCAACCTGCCAAGACCAGAGAAAACAGCATAGAGAGAAAACATCTAACCAGCTCACCTCATTCGCTACTTGTTCCAGAAGGAGCTTCTTGTCTGCAGCCTTGAAAGCCTCTAATGTGTTGGTGTTATACAGTGTTCCAGCAGCTGGACAGCAGCGTGCAGGCGTGGGGGAACTCCTGGACCCAAGAAAAAGACAGTCAGTCCCAGAGGAGACTCTGAGCCAACGAGGACTGACAAGCCACAGGACTGCTCAGTGCGGCAGGGAGACTTGTGACACATTTCTTTGGAAAAGTATGAATAGCACTGCTCAAGGACTAAAAGAAGGGGTCAGCCTCATGTTCTCCACCTGTCCCAGGAGAAGTTCATGTCCTTGTTGGGTGCCAGTGGCTCACGCCTGTAATCCTAGCTGCTCAGGAGGCTGAGATCTGAGGATTGCGGTTCAAAGCCAGCCCGGGCAGGAAAGTCCGTGAGACTCTTATCTCCAGTTAACTACCAGAAAACCAGAAGTGACGCTGTGGCTCTAGTGGTAAAGCTCTCGCCCTGAGCTGAAGAGCTAAGGGACAGCACCCAGACCCAGAGTTGAAGCCCCACGACCAACAACAACAATAAAAGAAGTTCATGTCCTAGTTTTCAATGCTCCCTGTGTTCAATCTAAGAGGGGAATATCACTGAACTACAAAGGTCTGGATTCTCAGAATGGCTTTTTTTCCCACTTAAAAATTTAAAGAAATTCACCTAGGGTGACATAACACTGGGCGGAGTGAAGCTAAAAACCAGAACCACATGATGGAAGGTATTCTGTGGCCCAGTCCTCACTCAGAACCCCCCATCTCCAAGGCCCTGATTCATCCCTCCTCTTCCAGGAAGCCTGCTCCCATTTTCTCTGGTAATAGTTCACCCATAAAATAGAGCGTATTCCAGAGCAGTTTAAAATATGACAATCATATACAGCCAACTAGATAGAAGACAGTAAGTTCCCCAAGGGCCAGGAGCAAGTCTTCTGTTTGTTCCACAACCTGGCACAGCCCAAACATGGCTCTGCACACGGTACCTGCTGACCAAAGCCCACGGTCCTCTGAGTGCCAGAGATAACAACATACATTCTTTCTGTCTAGACTTCCTGTCAACCTCTGGCTCCAGCCTCAAAGCCCTCACCAATTGCAGCACCCTGGAGGCTGAGAGGGCCTCAGAGAAATCAGCCAGGACAAGGGCAGTGGATTCTAAATACAAATTCAGATGTGGACAAATCTCTCTTCTCTGAAGTGATTGTGTTTCTTAGATTACAGATATGAAATGAATGACACATTAGTGGAATACTACTGTTCTCCTTCTGTCTAATGATGGGAGCTTCCGAGACAAAAGCTCCACTGTCTTCCCATTTTGAGTCTATAAAAATGGGGTTAAGAGATCTAAACCCAGGATAGTATCAGGAGCCTAATGCCAAGGCACCTGCTAAGGTTCCAAATGCCAGAGGATGAGGGAGGGCTAATTTTCAATGCCCAGTCTTTCCTCAGGAGCTGACTGTTTGTCCTAAAAGAATGCTTTTCATCCAGGTAAGATGAAGTCAAAGGCAGGCTTGAAGAGAGAAGTCATGGGGAAAATTGGGTCTGGAGAAGTGAGAAGTTCTGCATTCTTCTGCATGCCCAGTGTCTACCAAGATCTCTCATCAAGACATCAAGACACAATTAGTCAATATTCCTGAAATAACGATTGCTTCTTCACCTTTCTTACACTGAGAACACCACAATCCAAGTTTCTGCCTTCTCCTGTGTGCATAGTGCAAGTCCTTGCGTTCCTAACTCTTACACATCCTGCACAGTATGGATCTGTCCTGATGAATAAGTTCCTTTTTCTCTACAAACACATATAGATACACAATAATAAAAACCATGACAGTAACTCCTGTATTCTGAGCAACTCATTAAAGTTCCTCAACAAAGCTACAAAATCAGACCTTAAATCAAGAAGAAAGAACAGAAGACACAGCTCACATGAGGGAAAGGAACAGGACTGATTAAGGAAGCACAGGTATTTCACCCTAGGTCATCAGGTCTGATACTTCACACCCAGAGCTATTTCACAGCACTGGAGATCATTCCCTACTCCCCACTCTGCTGCTGTCTGCAAACCAAGGGATTTTGTGGCTAAGAGGGCAGACATGTCTAGGAGACCCAGAAACCTGTCTGACGATCACAGCTGCAGGGCCAGAGATGGTCTGCAGCAGGAATTTCTGGGTTATTCATTTTGTAGTACGATCAAACTTCACTGCATTTTCCTAATTAATGTTTCCAAGAATAAAATGACTGAAGTCCTCTAACATAAATAGAATCTCAGTCTAGTATCAGGATGGAGTGGGGCCGAGATGAGCTACCCACAAAGCTCACACAAAGTCCAGGTGGCCAGTGCTCCCTTTATGGCCAAGGGTCCTCCTGCCCTCCATAGACAATTTAGTGCTTATATATTTCTCCATTACCTCATAACTACTGCAAAAGCAAGGCAGTGTTGGCCAAAACAGGAGATTAGTAGGACTTAATTTGTTTTGACAATTGATCACAAGGAATTTATGATGGAGCTGGACAGCCTGGAAGGGGGAAAAAAACACCAGCACTACTCTTTAGAGATTAAAAAAAAGATCAGCACTACTCTGAATTAATATTATACTTCTTCTAAGTTTTGCAATAAAGGAACAAAATGTGGCAATATTTTGAGAAAATCTAGGGACACATTACCTGAACTATGATACAAGTTCTACTAACTGACCACTGCCATTAGGGCCTAGCTACCTGACTGCTGCCATATTCTACAGCCAGGCAGTCCTTCATAAGAACTCTACCCGCAGGAGGCCCATGTCCTGGGAGTGCCAAGTACAGAAGGCAGAAGTGAATCTCACCATATCTGCAATCCTTCAGCTCTCAATCAGCCCCAACACAGTACAATTCAACTCTTTCATCAAAGTGAATCCACATGGACCCAAATACATTAGTCACCAAATCCAATAACCTTTACATTGAACTCTGACTCTGGTGACTTTCCTGAAGACAGTTCCTCCTCTGGCTCCTCTCTAACAATCCATATCCTAGGCCAGCTCAGCGTCCTTTTTCTCCACTGAGCAAGCCTACTCACTGCTCCTGTACTTCATCTAATGTTCTATTCTTTTCCCTCCTCCAGCCTCATGGTCTCTATCTAGATAAATCCCTGATCAAGTCTGGCCCTCACCCTTTGTTCTGGGTCTCAGACATTTCCAGTAAACACTGGCACTCAAATTCCACATGGAGAAGCCCGGCGTTTCCTTTCCTCAAGATATGTTCCCTCTTGATTTATGTCCCTGTAGAAGATGACATAACCCCTAGCAACCCAGACTGCACTTCAAAAATGCTTCCAGGTACATTTAAATTTTTCTCACTACTACTGTTTTCTAAATTTAGCGGGTCTGACCTTGAGCCAGCTATGTTACATTTTGACCTACAGGGTTCTCTGAAAAGGGAAGAAAAAAATCATAACTGACAGGTATGGAAGGAATACATTTATGAAAATGACTATGAAATTAAGTGTGCAATAAATAACTCTCCTCCAGAACTCTCAGAGCTCCCAAGTGGGTAAAAAAGTTTCTTCAAGGATGTGTGTGTGTCTTATTCTTTTGTAGTCTCTCTAGGGTGCCTTGCACAGTGGGTCATGTGCAGATGTGACCTAATAAATGTTTACTGACTGAAGCTCATGTACAGGCAGCTAAAGGAGGAATCAGAGGTGACAAGACAGGCAGGCATGGTGCTATATACCAATTCCCCAGATACTTAAGGCAGAGGTCAGATCCTGTATGAAAAATAAAATGGGCTGAGGGCATGGTCCAAGAGGTAGAGCATTTGCCTCGCTAGGGTGAGGCCTGATTCAAACCCCAATATCACACACACATACACTAATAAAATATTAAATAACCAATAGGAGAATATTACCTAACTCTCAATCAGAAACTGATTGAGAGTTCTGAAAAGTATTTTTTTTCCTATGGAAAAAAGGAACTGGATAGGCCTACTTGGCAGTTGTCTCGATGGGAGACCCAAGCTCTGCTCCCCAGTGCCTTGCTAGCTTCTCCTGCGGTCCACGGAGAGCAAATGCTCACTCCTCATCCAGAGCAAGCAGTGTTCCTTATCTCCTGCCCATGTTTTGGTATGAGTTATACAGGGAGGATTTCACTGAGGCATTTCCATGCATATATCAATGGATTTAAATCAATTTTCCCTCCTTCCTTCCTAAAAGCGTTCTTTACTTTAGATCCCAAATAAATCAATACTCACATGTCAAAAGCACTGAACTCCAACGTTAAGCGAGCTGGCAGCCCAGCAGAATCCCCTGGATAAAAGCAGCACGATCACATTTTTAGTAGCAAATCAGAAAAACAGAATTCACAGCAAAAATGTCTGTGAACAGTTTTCTTCTTTTGTATTTAGACCCTGTGTCCCACTCATTCCTGCTTCTCTATGTGCATAGCTGACACCTGTCTGTACAGACAATGGCAGAATGTGACAGGCTATAGCACAGGTCGAGACCTGCCTAAAGCATAAAAAAGATTCCTGGGTGTGTGTGTGGGGGGGGATATTTCTAATCTCCTCAGTAAGCTAAGTAATCACTATTGGGTTAATAACTTGATTTTAACTACTCCTTCCCTTTTCCCTGTTAGATGGGAAATGTAAAAACAATTAATCTGGGTCAAAAGTCAGGAAGTGGGGGGGAGAAGGAAGGGGAGTGGGGGCAGTAGTGGCTCACATCTGTAATCCTGGCTCAGATCTTGGGAGCCTGAGATCTGAGGACAGTGGTTAGAAGCCAGCCTGGGTAGGAAAGTCCATAAGACTCTTATTTCCAATTAACCACAAAAAGCTGGAAGTGGAGCGATGGCTCAGGTGGCAGAGAGCCATCCTTGAGCAAATATGCTAAGGGATAGCACCTAGGCCCCAAATTCAAACTCCAGCACCAGCACGCACACAAAAAAGTCAAGAAGGAAACAAAGTCAGAAATGAGAACAAAAAACTAGTAAAGAGCTCAGGATCCCCTGAGGGGGACACCCTTGAGGGGTGTCCCCATCTAGAGGAAAGCTGACAGCTGGTGGTGGGGCTCAGTGGTAGAATGCTTGTCTAGTGAGGTCTGGACTTCATCTCCAGTATTGAAAAATGAGTGAATGAATGAATGAAAGCTGGTACCACAATGAAGAACAGGGGATCACAGATGATGGAGGACACAGTCTAAGGCTACCTACCATTGTAGTAATAACCCTTAATGTCCCTGGGAGCTTCGTCCAGCCGATACTCATTCAGCTTCCTCTGGGTCAGCTCATGCCAGAAGCCAACATCCAAGGCACTACTGAAGGGGGCAAACTGCAGCTTGGAGAGGCCAGGGTCCCCCATGGCTGTTCCTCCGACTCGCCTGCTGCAAGAACACAAGAAAACGTAGGAAAGCCTGGAGAGGAAAGAATACTTGTAATACAGCTTAGCTCAAACAAACAACACTCAACACATAATCTAGCCTCTTGATCATTTTGAAGTATATAGCTCAGTGGCAGGAAGTACATTCTCAGTGTTGGAGACAGATCTCCAGATGCTTCCAATCTGTAAAACGAGAGCTGTCCCTTTAGACAACAACCTGCACTCCCCTCACCCCCAGCCTGGCACCCACCATTCTGCTGTCTGTCTCTATCAAGTTTGATAAGCTCAGATTCCTTATATAAGTGGAATTACACAATTAGTGGCTGTTTCACTTAAGACACAACTTTGAAATCATCGTGGGTAATTTGCTGTGCTGTCAACATTAAGTCTCCTCATGACACAAATGAGTTTTAAATACTTACAAAAAGGCTCTTTCTGGCCTTAACTGTTTGTTTTGGCACTGGGAGTGAACACAGAGCCTTCAGTATGTCAGGCAAGCACTCAACTATGCTCCAGTCCTGGCCTACCTCCTGTGCATCTGTCTTCCTTTCTTGTCAGTCTAATGGTGCATGATGATACTCTTTTGAGACAACCATGTCTCACACTGTCAGCATCCCGTGTGTTCCTAGGGAATGCTACAAGTGTAAAATCCACAGTGCAGCCAGCTAAAAATGCATAGATCCTGGAGGCTGGAAATCTTCATCAACAGGTCAGCACCCAGCTAAAGAAGGAAAGGCAGGGTAAATGTCTCCCCATCTCCTGTGGGGCCCCACTTCTTTTAAAGTTCATTACCTTCTAAAAGCACAGGGATTTTGCATTTTATACCACAATAGCCTTTCTCTCCTTCAATCATCCAGGGAATTTGGGCATTCCAGGGATCATGCATGCATACACTAACTTCCTCTCTGCTGCATGCTCTCTGGCTGCATAGACCCGGTGTGAGAAGCACCCACGGTGGGGATCTGCAGTCCACTGGAGTCAGGCTAAGCATTATTTTATTCAGGCTATTTCCAACTGTGCCAGTAGCTTTCAATTAGCATAGCACATTCAACATCCTAATACTTCCTTTGCCAAGGGAAAAATTAAAATAAACTCTGTAACAATCGTATTTGTCAAAGAGATGTTTATGCCTGTGCCCTCGTTATGTGTCTGTTGTGGGGAATTTGTTTAGCCTCTCACATACTGAATACGTAAACGTTGGCCTGACATCTAGCCATGGCAGGTGAGATAGCCCTGCGTCCCCACGCTGGTACCTCTCATTCGCTCAATGCCAGTCAATACATCCTTACTTTTCTGTCTCAGATCAAGTTGATTTCCTTCTTCTTCTATACTTAGCTATGCAATTCTACATTGATACTGGTTTTTCCTCCACTTTCAGATAGTCGTGGAGGATAGAAAACAGAAAGAAATGTTTTACACATTTCATAGGCTGAAAAACTAATTTTATAACATCAGCTAAATCTTAAACATTTGAATTAAAGTCTGTTATGAACTAACTACCTTGTAGAGGCTGATTTTTATACGGGCAACATTTAAATAAGAAAAATTTTCAACGCTGAGGATTAACTTTTTAAAAACTAGGTCAGACAATGGTCAGGATGAGTGTTAAAATATGTTTCCTAGGGCTGGGAAGGTGGCTCAGTGGTAGAGTGCTTCCTTTGCATGCATGAGGCCCTGGGTTCGATTCCTCAGCACCACATAAGCAAAAAGAAAAAAGCCGGAAGTGGTGCTGTGGCTCAAGTGGTAGAGCGCTAGCCTTGAACTGAAGAGCTGAGGGACAGTGCCCAGGCCCTGAGTCCAGGTCCCATGAACAACCAAAAATGTGTGTGTGTGTGTGTGTGTGTGTGTAAGAGAGTGAGTGAGAGAGAGAGAGAGAGAGAGAGAGAGAGAGAGAGAGAGAAATAAAACCTTCAACTTTTAAAATGAAAATCCAACTATCAACTTTCAGGCAATTAACCATCTATATTTTCAATATTTTGTACTTAGAATTTATTTTGTAATACCAACAAAGACTTCTTATATACTGTAATTTGATTTATTTAACATCATTCCTGCATAAATTAAAAAACACAAAGAACTTGGTACTGAAAAATCTAACCTTCTACATACAGAAATTCAAATATAAAAGCTAATGCAGTAATCGTAACTTACCAGGCTTCTTCACCTTGTGAAAACTTTATAAACCCCTTTAGTGACTTTGAATGATCTAAAATATCTTTTTAAAATGATATACCCATCTAATTCTGTCATGTCATAACCTATTGTGGAAGACAGAAGTACCCAGCATGCCTTGCTAACTATGGGATGTGGTACCACATTTAATCAGAATCCTGAAGAAATAACTTTAAAATGAAGATTACAAGAACAGGTTTTTTTAGGCTGATTCAGTTAGAAAGGATTATAATGTCTTTTGGCATATTTTAAAATAACATTTTAGCTAACTAACAAATTTATATAAAAGTAGGCTTCATCAAACTTCTTCAAGGCCAGGCCATGTCTTACAAAATAGCTACATTTCCTACAAATGGAAGATACTGTATTTAGTATTCTTTATGCAACTTATAATAAAAGTCTCTAATTTGAAAAGGTACAAATGTGTCTTGACTGTGATAAAAGGCATAATTTATCAGGAATTACCCAGTATGCAGCACTTTAACAAGGTACAATGTGCTTTGATAGTAACTGCAGTCAAAGTGTTTAATCTGGTTTCTTCATGTTTGTTAAGAAAGTGTTTTGTAAAAACCTAGTAAAGTAAGGGTTGAGAAATTCAGAAAACTTCTAGAGTAAATACATGAGTCTTACTAATAAGCCTATTTCTACTAAAAGCACATAAATAAAGTGAAAAAGTTTCAGTGTTTGTTAACTGAGAGGATCTCAGCTTAAGTCTAGTCTAAACAAAAAGTTAGTGAGACCCTTTCTCAAAATTAAGCTTGGAAGCCGGGCGCCCATGGCTCATGCCTGTAATCCTAGCTACTCAGGAGGCTGAGATCTGAGGATTGTGGTTCAAAGCCAGCCCAGGCAGAAAAGTCCGTGAGACTCTTATCTCCAATGAACCACCAGAAAACCGGAAGTGGTGTTGTAGCTCAAGTGGTAGAGTGCTCGCCTTGAGCTGAAGAGCTGAGGGACAGCGCCCAGGCCCAGAGTTCAAGCCCCATGACAAAAAAAAAATAAAATAAAAGCTTAATATGATGGTACCCACCTGTAATCCTAGCTACATGGGAGGCAAAAGGGGGGGGACTGAAGTTCTCAGAATAGCCCTCAGCCAAAAAACAAAAACTAACCAAAACATGAGACCCTACCTGAAAAATAAAGCAAATAAAGACTAGTGACATGACTCAAGGGGTAGAAGTGCCTATCTAACAAGTACAAGGCCCCGAATTCAAACCACAGTATCACCAAAGAAAAAGGGACTGGAGGTATAGAGGAGAAAAAAACTGCAGGTCCAGGCCACAGCAAAACTGTCAAAGAGGTGTAACACTGGTTGCTGTCAAACACTGAGGACCCCTAATCTGAGATCCCAGAATAATACTTGCATACATATTAAGGTCTGAGGATCTCAATAACTAAAGGTCAACCTGTAAAACCACCACTGTCCAGGGCTGAGGACCTGACCACTGAGGCCCAAGGGCTGTAATACCACATGCTGTGGGGCTAAGGATCCCACGACTCAAGGCCAGTACAGTATCTGTGACACTAGAGGGCGCTCCCTGCCGTCTGCTGCCACCACAAAACCACCAAAGAGCTTCTCCTACTCAACATTTCTTAACAGAATAGAGCACACTAACTCAATCTTTATGAGTGAGTGAGTGAGTGAGTGAGTGAGTGTGTGTGTGTGCACGCGTGGGTGCGCGCACGCGCACGCCTCTGTCCTGAGGCTTGAACTTGGCCTAGGCACTGTCTCTGGCTTCTTTTGCCCAAGGCTAGCACTCTACCACCTGATCCAGCTCCATTTCTGGCTTTTTGCTAGTTGCTTGGAGATTCTCATAGACCTTCCTGAACAGGCTACCTTCAAAACTGCAACCCTCAGATCTCAGCCTCCTGAGTAGCTAGAAGTTCAGGCATGGGCCATTGGTCTCACTATGTAGTCCAAATTGGTCTCAACCTCCCAAATGCTGAGATTGCAAGGATTTTACTCATCTTAATCCAATCCATATGAATTTTAGGGTTATTTTTCTTGTTTTGTGAAGAATGTCATTGGTATTTTGCCATGAATTGTACTGAATCTGAAGATGGCTGCAGTGGTATGGCCATTTTAACAATAATGATTCTGCTCATCCATGAACATGGAAGGCCTTTCCATCTTCTAGTGTCTGCAATTTCTTTAAGTGTTTTGTATTTTTTATTACAAAGGTCTTTTACATCCTTGGTTAGGTTTATTCCTAAGGACATTTTTTTGAGGATATTAGGAATGGGATTATTTTCTGGATGTCTCTGGGAAAGCTCATTATAGGCATAGAAGAAAACTAATAATTTTTTTTTTTGGGGGGGGGGGTTGTGGGGCCTGAACTCTGGGCTTGGGTGCTGTTCCTCAACTCTTCAGCTCAAGGCTAGCGCTCTACCACTTGAGCCACAGCGCCACTTCCGGCTTTTTTCTTTTTTCTTATGTGGTGCTGAGGAATCGAACCCAGGGCCTCATGCAGGCAAGGCAAGCGCTCTACCACTGAGCCACCTTCCCAGCCTAAAAATTAATAATTTTTATATGTTGATTTTGTGTCTAGTTACTTTGCAGAATTTATCAGTTCTAAGAATCTTTCAGTGGCATCTGCAGGGTTTCCTACATACAGAATCATCACCTGCATTCATGTGTGGTTTGACTTCTTCCTGTCCCATTTATATATTTTTTTTTTTTTCTGAATGTTCTGGCTAAAATTTCAAGTATATGGAATATGAATGAGAACAGGTACCCTTTTCTCATTTCTGATTTTAGAGGAAACCTTCAGTTTTCCCCATTCAATATCGTATTAGCTATGGATCTGTGAAACAGTCTTTATCTCAATTATTATC